TAACGCTTTTTTGAATGTATACAAACTCGAAAGAAAGTGGAGTGAAAGAGTAAATCCAGCGTGGTTTACAGTGAACAAACTCAGAGACAGACTATTGAACTAGGTATTGTTTATTATTTTTTCGCGCATCTGCAGCTCAATGCAACATCAACAGAACGCCTACGTTGAGCAAAAACCAGTGTCTAGAAGCAATTAGGGAATTAGATGATTATAATTCATTGTTGAAAATATGTAGTGATGTCACATGAGAATTCGCCAAAGTCATGTTTGCATCAGTTTTATTTATATGGTATGGTTTCCGGCTTGGTTATACTCAATTATGTCGAGATAAGACAACCGCCGGATTGAAAGCTACTAAAAAAACAAACATAATATTAAGCTACTTGTTTTTTGGAGGAGCACGAAGAACATGTTGGTCTGATTATATTATCCGACGGCGTATTTTGGGAGGAAAGTATCGAGTTACGACTTGGTTAACACATAAATAAAGCTTTTCATGATTTATCAATAAACGCGAGTGATAATACGATAAGTGCGAGTGTAATGAGACCTGATAAACAAACAAAGTAGTTTTACAAGTGTTTGGCCTTTTAAAGAGCTCATTTTTGTTTGTTTATGTTGTGTTAATTGAATTAATTTACCTTCAGTCCATTCGCATTTGGTGTTTTTGCGTGTGTGAGACTGCTTCATGGCGACAGCACCGCACGACACTACAACAACGACTGAAAAAACTAAATCATGATTTAGTAAGGAAAACCACATCCCTGTTTGACAACGTAATGAGCTTGATGACTTAAACAACCATTTCCTATACCATTAAAAACTACAAGGGTCATGTGTTCTAATTTGAATCCGACACCAATCAGCTTGCGATGCATTATTTCCTCATCTATTACAGAAAAACATCAAACAAACGTAAATCAAGCCTGTTGCCACTTCTAGCGATGAAGACTTAAAAAAGTTTCCAACTGAAATATGTTTCATGTCTGCTGAACGAGACAGTCCGATAACTCTATTGGTCTACGTTACGAACTCCAGCTCCCAGATAAACGAAAGACACATCCGCTTCTAGAAATTGTTTTGATTATTAATTTTAAAATCGGAATGTTCTCGACAAGCTCTATCTCCCCTACAAGATATCAAAAATACGTTTCCGACCGTGCACCATTCTATTATGCCCGTATCACAAGTCTACCAAACGTTGGAAATTCTACACAAAACTTTATATATCATATCTCAGTTTGGAAGCGATTAGTTAGTAGCCCTTTTTCAACCGATGCCGATAGACCACGTGTTGACCATATGGGGTAGCGTTGGTCATAAAAAAACGGGTCCTACAAGATCTAAAATCCAGTCTGCATTTTAAATTAGAAGCGAGACGGTTTTGGTCGAAATTCTCAAGCTATGTTGATTACTGCAACAGATTGAAGTGATAAAATTATAAAAAGCACTTCCGTTGTACGAACTCCCACAGAAGGCTTGCTTGACTTCAATAATTCACATTTTTACTAGTTTAATTTAATATAATGTACGAAGATAAAGGATGACTGTCAATATCGATTCGCTTTCACCCCTCGAGAAAACTTCCGTCATTACAAACATAGACTCCTACCAGTGGTTGAGGGCTATGTTTGCGATTATTTGACGCCACCCAATTAATCAATAATGTTTTTAGTATTAATGTCAACACGCTTATTTAAACACACTCTATCTGCTATATTGTTTTTCTTTACACAATTCTCTTTAATACTTTACGCGTAAAAAAAATATTTACGCAACACGAACGTAAAGACACACACCCAAAAATAATGAAAAAAAGAAAACGAAATGACAACAAAATTCGCTAGATTTTTACTTCGAATGTGGATTTAATATTTTGCAGAAACCCATCGAAACGTATTAATTCACACACGTACTCAAGATTCTTGTTACATTAATCAAGCGTAGAAGCTTAATTTTCCATTGATTAGATTACTCGCCTCCGCTGCTATCGAAACGATATAACATCAGTATGTTCTACAAGGTTTTCAGAAATAGTGCGTGGAATTATTCGTAAAACTAGGTTGGTAGTTTTCTTAAGAAGTGTCTCATTTTGCCAAACAATGTAAAATAATTATCCGAAAAGTTTAATCTAGGATAACACAAAACTTATATCATAAATTTTTCAGACCCGACGAAACATACCTATTTGTTTTCGTGTACTATTTTGACAGTAGCGCCATTTTATTCGTGTCAATTAAACTCGAACATAGGCGTTTCAGACAAATTTTCAAAAATCCGTAGCGCGTTTTTATTGATTGATACAGATAGTCAAATACAACTAGATTTGACTCTTTTTTTGAAATCATTTACGTAAACAAATTAAATAACAATCATTTAATCACGTTGTTTGCAACTCGTGTGTATTACGTAGTAATCTTTTACTACTAAATATATGGACAGTTAACATTGCGATGATTTCTATATACATAAATCTATCTCCATGAGTTAAAAGGTTGGTAGCAACAGCTAATAATACGCTTAAGTCATCGAGTTGATAAATTATAAATAAGTGTTATAACAGAAATTCAAAAACTAATTTACTGCTTGCTTTAGTTACTAGTGCATCAAAGTTGGTCATTAGGAATAAATAATTCTACGCACTCATATTGACAGAAACATCGACTCTTAATAAATGTAGCCTTGAGCTATTTTTTCATATTATACCGACTAAATTTAAAAAAATCACTTTGGAAACTTTAATTTTTATTTAGTGTTCCAAAGCAACAAAAAAAAATTGCTTCAATCAAATCATTGTCACACACTCAGTCCAGTAGTTTCTGGGATTGTCTGTCTAATAAAGTTGCCAACGACAAAACAAACAGACATCGGAGAGAAGGAAACGGAGACGTTCAGGAAATCAATAATATATCGAAATTCCTCTAAAATATGTTGTGTGTACATAACATTTTCTCCTTTCTCCAATATAAAAACTTCATATACAGATTTTTTATATCAGTTTCTCTCTTGATTACGTGAAATTATGTGAAACATTTTTTGTTTATGTTGTTTTTGGTCGATGTGTTTGATTACTAACAAGTCGACAAATTTTTCGCTCCTTTATCTCAGACGAAAAATTCTCTCTCATTTAATTTCGTCTTCATTTACATTACACGAAACAAAATTACTTAAAATATTTACAAACTTGTGCAAATATATTTACTCGACTTTGTCGCATTTATTGGAGAAAAAGCAGCTCCGACATCACAACAAAATATAATAAAATAATTACTCCCATAAATATATACAAACAAATTGAGTCATTCAAAATAAAATTTTGTTAGTTGGCATTGAGTTTATCACATGTTAAGGTTAAATTTACTACGTTCAGAACTCGTAGGTTAAGTTTATTAATGAAAACAAGTGATGGTAATTGGCTGGCATGGTCAACTTCCTTTATAGGTTTGGGCGTACATTTTTAGAATATTTTTCGCATATAAATTATTTATGGAGAGCGAATCATGCGTAATTCTGTGGTTAATTCTAACCAGCACACCATTATAAGCACCGCCATGTTGAGATTTTTAACACAAGCGGCACAGATCTAGCCAGCTTTGTATTTTAATGTGTGTCAAAATTGACACTAGTGTCATTGTCCTAATAGCAAATATGAAACGTCTGTTAATTATCATCTCCATTTTTGCTCACGTCAAACGTATTTTTGTACAAATCATGTGCTGAATACGCCTACATTGTTTAGCACTTAAGACTTACAATTTTAATGAACGGGTTCCAACCCTTGTCTAAACTAAACTTGGGAGAAATACGACCGTCGATATTTTCAAGGAGTATCATCGTTAGCGGTGGATTTATTAGTCTTTAAGCCAAAAATACATATAAGCCGAATTTCGAAAAAGTGTAATTAGAGATAATATTTTACTTTGTTTCATCAACGATTCGCCGATTTCATTTCGCTTAATTCCCCTACACGATTTTTCCATTAAAATCATTAAAAAATAATTACAAAATTCGACTCTCCAATGTCCGCCTCCACCATGGATTATTTTCAAAGCAACTCAAACTGGATTAAGTAATTACAAAACAAAAAATACAATTTTACAAAGCGTTCTAATAAAAGGATTCAGCTCGGTTTTATTAAAGCAATTAAAACGGTGAGTTGTATCGACCCGAGTGCTCATAAAATATACAACGTGCGAAGCCGATTATTAAAATATCATCCAGAAAAAGAGGTCACATTGCCTCAGAACTATACTACAATAAAACTAATATTTACACCACAATTAGAACAAAAAAGTTAATAATTAAACACCTTGCGTTATCAGTACGTCTACAAGTTCAAGTTCACTCATAAATCAAAGCGCCTCGGAAACGTTGCATAATTTTAAGAATATTCACATTGATAAGAGTAATATCATAAATTCCCACGCGATTTATCTGATTAAAACTTTTTAGAAACGTTCGTGACGTCACCGGTAGCGCCTCTGGTGCGTGATAAAAATTCTAAGATGTGACCTTGACGAAAACACGAAAAGTTAGCCATTTTATAAAATTGTAAACAAATTCGTGACATTCAAACTGCAATTTCTATTTATTAAAATCTGCGTCATGCTTTTAATTACTTTTCAACGACAGTAATTTGAATTCAATTGTTCTCGTTTCGGTCGTTTCGGGATGGCTGCAAAAATGAAATTGAGGTGGGATTATACGAGGATCGAGATGGGGTGTTTGTGTGAATAATGAAATATTCTCGTGACGGTTGCTAAGGGATGTTTTCGTACTTCAATCCGAATCTGACGATATCTGCGATTTTTACTTTACTTGTACGAACGATACTTTCAGATAAAAGGTTATTGTTGCAATCTAACAACACGTCCTTGAAATAACGTTAGAATATTCTCAATATTGGAGCTATGTCTTTACATTTTGGATGAAAAAATTGGGGATCGTGGTGGGCCTTGTCCAACGACAACAATAAAACTTAAATAAACAGGTGGACTCACTGTTAAAAACCAAAAGTTTTCTTGTAGATCCCAGCCGTTTGATTGGTGACTTCAATTCCTGTTCATTTTCATCCATCATTACAGCCGGTCTATCAAGAAACAACGAGCAAAATTCTAAAAACGTCCACACATAAAAATAACTACTTTCACATATACGCAAAGGATGTTATGTTTCATTGGTAACTGGAAACAAAGTTTGTCGAATTTGTTCAAGACGAACGCATTTGTCCGAAGTTGAATTTTTCGACTCTACACTTCGAGATTCGCCAAATGTTCGTTACGTATTGTTGCGGACGCTACACGAACAAAACGATTTGTACACTGTCTGATGTCTATTTGAACATAACATGCAACTCGCTACTCAAAATAGAATGCGGTCCGATGCTTGTAAACACATAACCGTCCAGCGCCATCTTTCAACCCGCCCCTACACTACCCACCGATCATTCCACAAACACCTACTTAAAAAAATTGCTCGAAGTTTATTTCGACAGAACTTGGCTTCTTTGAAAAATTATAAAATTAGATTTTGCTGTGTTTGTTTTGTGATAACGAGATACGGGCAAAAGCATATTTGCATAAATATTCTAAACTATTGGGCATATTGAACACAAACTGTACTTTTTATTTTGCATATTTTGTGTATAGCTGTATGTAACGACATATTTTTGGTTTTGCTGTATATAAATGGATATTTTATGTGTAATAATTTATATTGCTGAAAGATTTTTTGCTTGGCGCTTGAATAGGTTAGCGGTTAGATAGTGAACTCAGGTACGTAAACAAGAAATTTGGTTAATTTTTGCTTTTTTCCTTTCTTCAATGAAAATTTTAGTTTGTTAATCTGTTACTCTTTGCTATCTTTTGCACTAGTTCTTGTGTCAAAGTGAAACTGCAAAATCCCGAAGATATGTATTTCAAAGAATAAATTTTAAAACACATACAAAGTAGTCTAAATGAAACGCATTAACGGAATGAACGAATTTGTTGTAATAAAAACGAATTCTGTTTCAAAAAACTGATTTATTTAAATATTGTCGTGTAAAGTTCGGCGAAAGATACAGTGCCTTCACGATTTTGACATTTTACACTGAGTTCAGTAAATCCGCATCCCTTGTTGTAAGAGTAACAAATAAAAATTATTTCAATACGGCATGTTTGTATTGGATAAGCAAAAATTGTTTTTCTAGAAAATGAAAAAAAATCTGTGATTATTTATTGTAATTAAAATATATATCAACATTTTGTAATTATGTGTTAAAAAATTCCATTGTAAAGAAGTAAACGACGTACACCATTTACATCACCTAAACATGGAATTCTTTGAAATGACGTCATCAAATTGTTGGTGGAGAAGATTATCCAAATTTTGGTTAGCGTTTAACCTTCACTAACAATCGGTCCAGCAGTTTCGAAGACAGACAGACGGACGGAAACGGGAGACTACTTTTTTCGTACTCTAGCGGTCATGAAACGTCGAGAGCTTACGCTCGGGAAGTAAAAATGATGAGACGGCAGCGACAAGCAAAAAAAAAGTCGCAAATGGTATAAATGTAAATATAATCTAAAAGCGTATCTGTGGCGCACATAAGCAAATTGCTTTACACTTTAGTAAATTAGTTCCCTCACTCAACTTATTTTATTTTATCTAAATAAATTTGCTCCGTCCCGGACAACGCAATAATTTTATTACACGCACTGGTTGCGAAAGTGCTACTTCATACAAATGTTTTAAATATTCCTTTGTTCATAACAAACGAAAATAATATGAATAATTTCAAACAACCCAAACAAGAATTATTGCATTTACTTTCTGTGATGTTCGTATAACCAAAGATATAATAACAAACTGAGTTTTCCATCACGTGACAATTTTATATAACGCTACAACAGTTTTTTTTTTTATCTAGTGGAACTTTAGTAATTTATGATCAGCAATTACGCTTCGCGAAAATAAATAACATGGAGATACAAACAATGTATAACACAGATTTTGACTTTTCAAATAGAACACTATTTGTCTGCAAGTAAATATATATATATTTTTTTTTTGTATTAAAATTGAAGATAAACAATCCTACTAGTTTATGACTATAAGTAAAGATATGATTTAATAAAGAACAAGGATTAGGTACTGCAGGATTTTCATAAATTATTCTAACATCCAAGTGGGCACTGATTTCTTCTTGGTGTATGTAACTATAATGACAACTTTTAATTGGTACTAAGTACCAATTATTGGTACTAATGACAGATGACATACTTACTAACCATTTATAAACGTCTTTCATTACCATTAACACTAAACGTAAAAGTCAAACTGAATATTCCATTAAAATTTCCAAAAAGTCTCAGATAAATAAAAATTTGGTAGTTCAAACATTAATTTTTTTATAACAACTAGTAGGTGTAACGTACCTATTCTAATGTTAATAGTTAATAGAATATAGAGCTCAATCGTAAGTAAAAGAGCAGGTCACATTGCAAATTGAAGTGATATTTATTTAATAATATTACTCATGATTTTTTTGAGGAGATAAATAATAGATAAAAATACATCCTGAAATGTATTAGGTACCGCTTATATGGCTTGTACGTCAAAGAAAAGATAAGTGTGTAAATAAACTTAATTATTTGTAAACATTACATTTATTTAAAATTTTCTGAATATAACTAATAGTTTTGATTTTACTAACTCTTCCGTTATTACTTCGAAATTTTAGATCAGTTTAAATTATCGTGTTTTATCTACAAAATTACTTAAATGATTACTAAAATGCGGTCTTAAGATATTATTTTTATTTCAGTATGTATTATGTTCTTGAAATTTTACTGAGCGACATTAAATTATGAGGAAAATAGTGTCACAAGATACGAAAATATTGATCTCTGTTTTAAATGTTTTAAGGCTGTTAATATTATTAATTTAAAACATTATTTTTTTATTTCTGAAAGTTTCGGGTCTAATCAGCAACTTGCATGGAGTTCTTTTCGTCTTGGGTTCAAAAGAAAAAGGAAAAAAGGAACATTAATAAAGAAAGTGTTTTAATTTATTTAACGTCATAGATTTGGCATTACCTTCTTTTATAATACCTTTATCGTATTTGAACAAAGCGGCACACATTCGTCAATGCATACGCTTAGATTACCCAGAATAAGCAAGCGGTGCATTTATGTCTGAAATGACCACGATATCCTTAGTTATGTATTGACATATTGATCTTGAATAGACGCAGCTGTGAAAGTTAGATGTAGCTTGTACATACCAGAAAAATAACAGCATCTATCAGAGACTAATACAATGTAAATATTTTACATACAAAAATGGCAAAATTATTCTTATGTAACCAGTATATAACACAAATGAAATCCATACAAAAATATATTTTGTGGTCGCACGTATTTTTTATGTCTAATCAAGAATCAGTCAAAAACGATACAAATGTATTGAAAAAAAACATATCATAATAAGCGCGCGCAAATAAAAGTGGGTGGAGCCTATCGCGGGCCCAATAAGAGTAGATTATTCACATAATCTGTGTTTACATGTTTCCTGTCAAATGCCAATTGCAAAGTTGACACGAAGTAGACCAAATTTAAGGTTAATAACAGAGAATGTTATTAACAAATAAAATAAAAACACTGAAACTATGTTAGTTTAGTAAATTTAATTACTTTTAGCAATGTCCGATTATCTTTGCAAATTCGAATACGTCCACGACGACAAAATTCTCGAAGCAGAAATTAAAATTCCGTTTGAAGGAAGTGTGGAAGAACTAGCCCACGTTTTAATTCTAAAAAATAACGCCCCTATATTTATCGAAAAAGGTAGTACACAATACCTGCACTACCCCGAATAATATTTGTTTGTAGATGTGATAGAGCGCTTATCTCAATTCATCAACGAAAGCAGCATACTTTACCATAACAATTACACCACAAAACTCGCCGAGAAAGCACGAAGTGATAGCGCAAACATTGATGAAATCACTAAAGAATGGGAAAAATTGATGAAGGAAGAAATGGCGGAGTATGGAGAGAAGAGATGCGCTTCTGACGAAGAATTATTTGCAACTGCCTACCACAAAATGGTGCATTCGCCAGCTTTAGAAACCATGCTACAATTAGAGCACATGTATTCGAAAACGGTGCGCTCGAAAACTGAGGAAAAGAACAGGTGTATACAAGAACTGTCAGAGAAGCAAAGTGAAGAGATGAACCAAGCTGTAGATAGGTTAGAGCAAGACATGACTGAGTCAAAAATAAACGAATTAGTGGCGAGGCATTATGAAGACCACTCCTTGTTGAAAGTTCGATTAACTAGTGAGCTTGATACTATTAAAGAAGCACAGAGAAGGGAGTATAGGGAGTGGTTGATGCAAATGTTGGAACAGAATCAAGCTACAAATTCGTTACCAACTCCTAAGTACTTTTTTTTTAGTTGTTACTGTTGTTTGTTGTATAATTGTATTATTTTCAGTTCTCCTTTAACTCCTCATTCACCTCAGCCAACAATATATACTTCAAGTGGTAACAGGGAAATAAGTAAACCCGTTTTGGAGGAAAGTTTCACCATACATTTAGGTTCTCAATTAAAACAAATGCATAATATACGAATTATATCAGCAAATGTGATGGAGTTGTGTGCTGTTGAAGACAACGACCAGTCGTGAGTTTTCAACTTGTGAATTCTCAAAGTTGAGTTGTTTGTTTCAGTTCAGAACCCAAACCACAGTTACTACAAACGGCCTTAGCTCTATATTCTAATGATCTTTCAGGACTTGTTTTAATGACTGATAATAAAGTAGGGTCGCGATTAACGCAAGATTTTCAGGAGATTTGTCAAAGGACTAACGAATTTCATTTTCCGCATGTAGATGATCAACTTGACAAAATTTCTGCTACTGCGCATCAGTATTTAAAGTCTCAGCTGAAAGAAACTACTAGCAGGAATACCAACAGTGAATTGTTGCAAGCTGGTGACTTTTATATTACTAGACATTCCAATTTAGCACAAGTACATGTTGTTTTTCACATGGTTTCTGATGATAGTTTGAGAGGTAGTGACATTAATAGTAGACATCCAGTGGTTTTAGGACTGAGAAATATTCTTAAAACTGCGTGTTCTAATGACATCACGTCTTTGACTATCCCTTTGCTATTGCAGTATGACATGACAGAGGTAAAAATATTGTTACATGTTGAACAAATACTTACTGGTGTTCTAGGAGATGACAATATCTTGGTGCGAAAAAAGAGCAGAACTGGTTTTCAAATGTGTCAAAGGTTTTATGATTGAAATGGCGTCGTGGGGCGGTTCTGATCTAAAAAATTTACAATTCATGCTACCGCAAGGCATTTCTAGTAGAGTATTCCAATCCTTAACTGAAATGTTACCAAGAATATTCAAAGTATCAAACCCAAAAATACTAAAATAAATTATTTATCTTGTGATATGTAAATAAAAACAATATGAACTTTTACATTAACATTCATTAAATACATATTTCCAAAAACAGGATATTTTACTTACAAGATTCCCAGTTTCGTCGGAAGTGATCTCTCATCTTTATAAAAATTTATTTTCAACACTGTTAAACATAGATTAAAAATACTGATTAAAACAACAGTAAATGATAAAATTTATAGTGATATTGTTCACTAACGCAAAAGGTACGTTTATAAAATCAACTAAGCTAAATATGTTACAAATCACTTAGACTTGAATCTCTGTGGTTGTTTTCTGGGCGTGGGTTGTCTTTGTCTGGCAAGAAAGGACTGTCCTTGTCCAGCACTTAGAACCGCTAATCTCTCGTCAATGGCCTCTCTGTGACATGTCATACCCAATTTGTAAAAAGCAGCCGCCATTAATCTCTCTTCCATTTCCTTCATGTGTGTAGCGTGATGCATAGAATTCATTCCTCCGTTACTTTTAGGTTCCAACTGCTGCGCGACCTCCCTCGCTTTCTCTAAATTTTTCGTATACTTATTTTGTGCCGCTTGTAATTCGTTTTCTCTAGTAACTAAGGCCTCTTGTAACGACGCTATCTTCTGCTTGTACTCTTTGACTAAATTCTCACCTTGCTGGGGATCATCACTGGAAATCTTATTCTTCAATTCTTCAATCTGAGCCTCTAATTTCATGGTTAGTTGATTCGCAGAACGCTTCTGCTGCTGCAGTTTATCTATCCTACTTAAAGCACTTTCAAGCAGTGTATGGTTTGCCTCATTCTCTTGTATCGACGTGCGCAAACTCTTGTTTTCTTTCTCCAAAAAACTCAACCGTTTCTTCATCTCAGTGGGAGTCAATTCTTGAGACACGGCAGCCCCGTTGTCTTTTTCCGGTCGTCCAAGTTTCAATTCTTCTATTTCTTCACGAAGGCTGTCTCTTTCTTGGGCTATTCGCTCCTTTTCCCCCTGCAACGCAACTAACTTAGTTTCAAGTTTTTCGCAGTTGAATTGAGCTTTGTCTGCTCTTTGAGTTTCTTCATCTAATTTTTGTTCAATTACAACCAACTGCTTCTTGTATGTTTCACACTGGTTCTTCCAGCTGCTAACTTTTGTCAATTCTTCTTCATGTTCAAGGATTTTTTGGAGATATTCCATGTTCTTCTCTTCTAGTTTTTGAAGCGTTTTCTTCGCGTCAGAGTACTTTTCAAGTTTTTTCTTACATGAAGCTAAATTCGCCTCTAATACTTGCACCTTAGCAGCGGATTCTGAAAGGGCGTCTATTTCATCCTTCAGTCTAGAGGTATCACTTGCTGCTAGTTGCAATTCAGCGATTTTCTCTTGGTTCAATTTAATTTGTTTATCTTGTTCAGTTAGTTTGGCTTTAAAATCGTCCCTCATCACTTCCGCTTTGAATAATTCTTCTTTTAATTCTTCATTTTGTTTCCTGAGATCAGAATTTTTGCTTTCTTTGTCTTTGAATGAGCGGTTTTCGCCATATAGTGTTTGGTTTTCGTCTAATAAATTTTGTATTTGAGCTTCCATTTGTTGGCACTGTTGACTCAAAGTTTCTTTAGCGGCGTTTGCAACTTCTAGCTCGCTCATTAATTGCGACACGCGAGCGTCATTGTCTAGAATTAGAAGACTTCTGCCGGAACGTCCCCCAGTTACTAAGTCTAGTTGCTCTATAGCTTGTTTTATATTCTGTTGAACGGATTCTTCCATATCCATGATTTTCGTGATGTAAGCTTGTTTGTGTTCGCAGTTTATTGCACATCCTTGAAACGTGATCATGATTGACTTGTTACAACTTTGTCTATTTACTTACCCAAAATTAAGCGTAGAAGTTTTGCTAATTGCACACTGTCGTTATTGGCCCCAATTTCAGTTACGTCAGGTTTTCCATCTTCCAGAAGCTGTAGTGTGAGTACATCTTGATAGTACTCAGTGATTGCCTCAAAAATTTTCTTTAAATTACTGACACGAAGTCTCCAGCTTGAACTTACATCTCTCTTGATTTTTGGTTCTAATTTACCGAAATGGTCGGGCGCTATTTGTATTAAAGCATCCAACATCGCTACCCCATCACAAATCTCTTCAATATTTCTAGCTTTACTGGGTGCTATAGTTTGAAACCAAGTTATTAAACTTTCACACATTCCACTGCCCGGATTCATTTTTTTTCGTCTAGTTTACATGTGGTCAATAAATCGACTAGATAAGAAAAATCACTGACACTAAGCTTTAAAACCATTTACATATTTTATCACAACAACCCATGTAATCTTCGATCATCCCGTCAGTTCATTGTTGTCAGATGTCAAACGATTGTCAAATCGTCGATAAATCGCGAAGCGTCGACTATAAACAAAGTGCAATATATATCCCTGCGGAAGCGTAAAGCGAGATGAAACAACCACAACGTGTGTTTAATCACGTGAGCAAAAATCTGTAGGTACCAACCGAGCGGAACGCAAATCTCCACAAAACCTGACCTAAATTTGTGACCCAAATTAAAAGCGTTTGCGCACAAAGTTTTACATATTTATTTTTCAAACACTGAACATTCAGACACCATTAGGAATTTGCATTTCTTCTAATGGAAGTTTGTTATAAAATAATAATAAACAAACGCTTTTTTTGTTCAATTAAATCACCATTAAAAATAAAGTTGGCACGGTTTGCGCGCCCCTTGCGGTGATATGCGCAACTAGGTCTATTATTATTTTTCTGTGATTTTCAATAGCAATTTGTTCTTAGAAGAGGCTGCGGCCCTTGGGGCCTTGAATTGTTGTTAGAAATTACAAAAACCTTCAAATTTCAGAATAAAAATGACCCGTAAGTTTGTTTTATTTACTAAGTTTGCGTAAATCTAGCGAATTTTTGTAGGTGGCAATCAACGTGAGCTCGCTAGAGCGAAAAACCAGAAAAAACAACAAGAACAGGCGAAAGGTAAAGCACGTAACGATGGATTAACCTTAGAACAACGAAAATTTAGGTAAGAGAGATAAAAGCTTACACCAAGTGGACCAATCGGATTGATCTTGTAGGGATGCCGAATTAATGAGAGAAAAGCAGCGCAAGAAAGAGGAAGCAAAAGCTGCAGCACACTCATAATTCTGTTGTTTTTTTTTTCTATTATGTTGACAAACAGGTCTAATCTTGTAATTTTTTCTACTATGGAATTACAGGGCAGTCGTAGCATTTATTATCTCAAATTTCTATCAAGTATTAGTGAGCTATTAACCGTTTTGTGCAGTTTTTGTAATTAAAATTTCTTTCAATAAAATTTCAAGCCCTTGGGAATCTTTCGCTCACCTTCAACTTGAAAAACAGAAACTGGGTGTAACCAAACAGCTTCCAAATAACGTCAATCTTCTGCATTTACCGATATATTGTGAATCAAATTTGAAGAAACAAAACTGGTTTGGTTACAATTTTATTACACAACTTGTGGCAGAAGTTTCTAGAAGCAAACCTGAATCACCTAAATCAACAAATAAAATGACCAATTTGTAACAAAGATTTTTGAAGACCCGGTAATAGCTTGATGGGAAGTTAAATGAAACGCTGAAACCAATTCAAATAATTTATTTCTTTTTTTACAATTCAATTATACAAACTTATATAATATTTCGTACCAACGAATGTTTTTGCTTACAATAAAATAACTCCTCTTAAACAAAAGAGAGCAAAAAAAAGCTAAAGGTACAAAAAGTTTTTTTGTGTACTCGCACAGCCTTATTATCACTACATAACCCTTAGATTGTGTATAATTTGAGATTGTTGCGAGACATATTTTTGAAATAAAAAATTAATGACAAAAATTTTACACCTAGACTTTTTTTTTAATTTTACACACTCACAGAAATACAAATAGTAAAGAGAAAAAAAAAATTGAGGGAGGGTCATTAAAGCTGCTCTAATCACACAAAATGTTCCACACTCCTCAATAACAATGTTTAATAATGAGATCTTTATGTCTTAGATAAGAACAGATAATCTCATTTATACTGTATAATATAAAACTGTATAAATAAGTGTGTTAAACAATCTTAAATATTTAAGACTTAGACCTGCAGTTAATAAATTTCACACTTTGGAAAGACAGTTACACTAATAAGTAATCTCAATAAAAGGAAGTAAAAACATTGTAATTATTAAAAAAATACCACTATTTTTTCTGACAATTATGTACATGTTGAGATTCATGACTGCATGTACCAGAGACAGTTTAGGACGAACCAGTTACAGTTTCTACAGGTGTGTGAGATCCACCTGGTATGAATTCAGCAGCCAACGGATTTAAATTGCTTTCTTTCACAACTTCAGGACAATCCAACTTCAAGTTGTTGATCATGTTTGATACTTCATTATTCGGGCTGAAATTATCAAAATTTATAAACAACTTAATCTTCACTCAAGTGTTTTATTTTTACTAGTAAAAATTACGCCTTATCTAGTGATAAGTTGTTTATTTCGAGGACCTGAAATTTTTATTATTGAAAACAAGGCCACTTATGTGTTTACAACAAACATGATTGAATGAATAATGTAAACATCACATTTCATTCAACATGTCATTTCATTTTGAAACTTCTTTTGAAAAAAAAAAGTATGCAACCACTCAGTCAAGGCTGTTCTTTTCTCCGCGTCTGAAGGTCATGTAATAAAACTTCACAACATAAAAAAAAGACTCACTCAGCTCCGTTTGTATGATTGGAGGGTGCCTCACTGTTTTCGTCAGCTAACATAGCCTCAATGCACTCCTCCATAAGGGCTTCCTCTTCGAGCCTTTGCATGACCTGAAATTCGCAGATTCACGACGTGAAGTGTGACTTATTGCAAAAATACCTCTTTATCGAACTCTTCTTCGTTTTCCATCCAGAGGTACTCTGAGAAGTCGTCATCGGGGGTAGCATTGAACTCCTCCACTCCGTTGTTATCTATGCTCTCGGAGATGTACGTCGTGTCTTCATAGTCGTAGAGCCCGTTTTCAGATGACTGATTATTAGGCATTTTCATGCTCTTAAAACGAAAAAAGTGATAATTTTGAGATACTTATGTTGTTTAATGTATGCAGAATACTCCTCCATTTTTGGCAAATGGAACAGTTGTATGGAAATTATGAATACTCACAGATGATGCGGTTGTTGTTCGCGACTCTGGAATGGGTACGTATAGAGAGATTCTCTGATAGATCCGAATAGCGCTTTTGTAAAAAAGATTACGGAAAAAAACGCGACAATCACCTCTATTGTCAAACAAGCCAACAACTGTACGCAGACACAAGCAGACAAGCTGTGACGTAAGGATCAGGCATGTGTAGACTGACGCCAACACAACGAAAATTATTGTTATTTGAAAAAACGAAACAGGAGGCACATTTAAGTAGAATTTGTCCGTATATAAAATTACCACGGACGTTTCATTGTTGCTTGTTTATAAGCAATGGAAATTTATGTCTCCATTGATAACAATAATGATCTAATAAAAATTTAATGTTGGTAGCTGCATGAGAGTGTTTTAACTACAACAGTGTGTTCCGCCTACTATTTATTGAATCTACTAAGCGAAATTTTAATTTTAATTATCTTTTATTATTTTTATAGTTATTTTTTTATCACGCATTAATTAAATCGCGTTATAGCATAGAATAGTTTTTCTTACTGTTTTTGTGTACATAGCTAGCTGTATCTAAATACAATTTAATGTTTTTGTTAAAGTCAGTGATTGTGCGAATTCATTTTCAACATGCATTTTCGAAAAATTTTAGTTTTACATTCTTACCGTTCTCATGTATTGTTAGTCTAATTTACATTCTCTTAAGAATTGATAACTTAATGTCATTCTAAAAAAGTTTAAATTTTTAAAATTTCTTTCAAGATGAATATATTAAAAAAATGAAATACCGAGACCCAGTTTATAGACGCATTTAACCACGCAGTTAATTAGTCACGTAAATGCTTCTAATATTTTATAAGATTGTCAGTTATCAGTCTATTTAACTAATTGGTCCAGAACGAGGAGAAAAATATACTTTGGGCAGTCGTCCAGGTATATTAAAAGGGCGTGGCAATGTATACTAAGCTCAGTCGACATCTATCCAGTAAAACTCTTATAACTTAAGCCAAACCAGCCTTATAAATCAAAACTAGCTGCTAAAAACTGCAACAAACAAATTTTCAGGTAGAGAGTATATCATGTTGAACGGGCGTATACGAGTTGCGCCAACTACCTGGTGGGAATTTAGGTAAAGATTGAATTCCGCCAATTCGGCTAAATACTACCCCTAATTCCTCCTCCTTCCTGTTTTAATCCCAACGGCACTATCAACTGATTTTTAAGGAATTGCGAAGTAATGCATTTGCAAGAGATCTTGTTCATATTTGGGTTTAATGCCAACTGCTGCACTGAAGTTTTTGGATTTACAGTTACATCAGATATGATATTAAAATCTCACATTAATATAAGCGAATTTTATTTAGATAAATGGGTTGCGGAAGTTTTTCACGAGGAAATTTTAGTATATAATTTATGTTTTGCACTGGTTTTGCATACTTTGTGTAAACAAACTAAAAAATTAAATTTCCTGTATTCTATATGCAACACACCAAACAAATATGCAACCTACGGGTTGCATCAGTGTGTTACCAGTGTGAATATTTAAGATTGTTTTAACTCATTATGGATGGTCTTGTTGATAATTTTATTATACTGATTAATAGTTATTTATTTGTTAGCAACATCAAAGATGAAAATATCCTGAAAAAAAAGTACTCCATATACTGATCTTAAACTTATTTATACATGCTTGGTTTGAGGGTCCCTCTGATTTATGGAAAAATTCAAAATCTCGAAATGATGATCTCATAGAAGAACAATTTGTGCTAGTCGAAAAATTAAATCAGTATACGCATATTATACTCGGAAAATATTTATCGAACAATTTTATTACAAATTTTCTAGATAAAAATAGCTGGAATTACATTTCATGTAACAAAAAATTATCTGAAGATTTTCTTAGAAATAAACAAGATAACGTTGATGGGTATTGTATAACAACATATCAAAAGTTATCAGAAAATTTTATAACAGAATTCCAAGATAAAGTTGATTGGTATTACATATCAAAATACCAAAGTTATCAGAAGATATTACAACAGAATTCCAAGATAAAGTAGACTGGTTCGTTGTAAGTGGTGGATTCCAAAAAATATCAAAACATTTTATGAGAGATTTCAAAAACAAAGTTGACTATAATAATATCTGAAACAGCTCATAACTTTCATATTCACACTGAGCGTTTAAATATTTAACAAAAAACATTGCAGACAATCTGTAGGTCCATGCGTCATTCCAAAAAATATGCGTCAAAAATATGTCTCCCAGAAATGCAATCAATCCTGTGGTGTTGTGCAAATTTTGCTTCGTGACCATCATCATTCTATATTTTTGGAATCAGCATGTCGATATCCACGTCCCTGAATTTTTTCGCAATTTTTAGAGAACTTTTTTAAAAGTGAAATGTTTCCAATGGTCCCCCCTTCTTCAAATTTCGGCCAAAATTTGACATTTTCGAAACTTAACTAAATACATTTTCTTGTAGATTTCGAGCTATAGAACTCACTTCCGGCCTCGTTTCTTTGATAATGGCAACCGTTTTTCCTGAATGGACCCATGAAATATACAAATTTTTAGAAATTTTCAAAAATTCGCTTTTCATACCGATTCTAGCGAAAATTTTGTTCCGTGACCCTAAACATTTTATATTTTTGGAATCAGCAAGTCGAGATCTGCATCCCTGAATTTTTTCAGAATTTTTAGACAACTTTTTTTTTGGTGAAATTTTTCCAATGGTCCCCCCTTCTTCAAATTTCGGCCAAATTTTGACATTTTCGAAACTTAACTAAATACATTTTCTGGTAGATTTCGAGCTCTAGAACTCACTTTCGGCCTCGTTTCTTTGATAATGGCAACCGTTTTTCCAGAATCGACCCATGAAATATACAAATTTTTAGAAATTTTCAAAAATTCGCTTTTCATACCGATTCTAGCGAAAATTTTGTTCCGTGACCCTAAACATTCTATATTTTTGGAATCAGCACGTCGAGATCTACATCTATGAATATTTTTAGAATTTTTAGACAACTTTTTTAAAAGTGAAATTTTTCCAATGGTCCCCTCTTCTTCAAATTTCGGCGAAAATTTGACATTTTCGAAATTTAACTAAATACATTTTCTTGTTGATTTCGAGCTCTAGAACTCACTTCCGGCATTGTTTCTTTGATAAGTGTAACCGTTTTTTCAGAATTGAACGTTGAAGTATCGAAATTTTCAGAAATTTTCAAAAATTCGCATTTCGTACCGATTCTTTCGAAAATGTTGCGCTGTGACCGTCAACATGCCATATTTTTGGAATCAGTATGTGGATATCTACGTCCCTGAATTTTTTCGCAATTTTTAAACAACTTTTTTTTAGTGAAATTTTTCCAATGGTCCCCCCTTCTTCAAATTTCGGCCAAAATTTGACATTTTCGAAACTTAACCAAACACATTTTCTTGTAGATATCGAGCTCTAGAACTCACTTCCGTTATCGTTTCTTTGATAAATGCAACCGTTTTTCCAGAATCGACTGTTGAAGGAACGAAATTTTTTGAAATTTTAAAAAATTTGCATTTCATATCGATTCTAGCGAAAATTTTGCTCCGTGACCTAGAACATTCTATATTTTTGGAATCAGCAAGTCGAGATCTGCATCCCTGAATTTTTTCAGAATTTTTAGACAACTTTTTTTTTGGTGAAATTTTTCCAATGGTCCCCCCTTCTTCAAATTTCGGCCAAAATTTGACATTTTCGAAACTTAACTAAATACATTTTCTTGTAGATTTCGAGCTCTAGAACTCACTTCCGGCCTCGTTTCTTTGATAATGGCAACCGTTTTTCCAGAATCGACCCATGAAATACACAAATTTTTAGAAATTTTCAAAAATTCGCTTTTCATACCGATTCTAGCGAAAATTTTGTTCCGTGACCCTAAACATTCTATATTTTTGGAATCAGCAAGTCGAGATCTGCATCCCTGAATTTTTTCAGAATTTTTAGACAACTTTTTTTTTTGGTGAAATTTTTCCAATGGTCCCCCCTTCTTCAAATTTCGGCCAAAATTTGACATTTTCGAAACTTAACTAAACACATTTTCTTGTAGATTTAGAGCTCCTGAACTCACTTCCGGTTTTGTTTCTTTGATAACTGCAACCGTTTTTCCAGAATCGACCGTTGAAATATCGAAATTTTTGGAAATTCTAAAAAATTCGCATTTAATACCGATTCTAGCGAAAATTTTGCTCCGTGACCCTAAACACTCTATATTGCTGGAATCAGCACGTCGAGATCTACATCTATGAATTTTTTTAGAATTTTTAGACAACTTTTTTTCAGTGAAATTTTTCCAATGGTCCCACCTTCTTCAAATTTTCCCAAAATTTGACATTTCCGAAACTTAACTAGACACACTTTATTGTAGAATTCGAGCTCTAGAACTCACTTCCGGCCTCGTTTTTTTGGTAACTGCAACCGTTTTTCCAGAATCGACTGTTGAATTATCGAAATTTTAAGAAATCTTCAAAAATTCGCATTTCATACCGATTCTAGCGAAAATTTTGCCCCGTGACCCTAAACATTCTACATTTTTGGAATCAGCAAGTCGAGATCTACATCCCTGAATTTTTCCAGAATTTTTAGACATTTTTTTTTATTGAAATTTTTCCAATGTTCCCCCCTTCTTCAAATTTCAGTCAAATTTTGACATTTTCGAAACTTAACTAAATACATTTTCTTGTAGATTTCGAGCTCTAGAACTCACTTCCGGCTTCGTTTCTTTGATAACTGCAACCGTTTTTCCAGAATCGACGGTTGAATTATCGAAATTTTAAGAAATCTTCAAAAATTCGCATTTCATACCGATTCTAGCGAAAATTTTGCCCCGTGACCCTAAACATTCTACATTTTTGGAATCAGCAAGTCGAAATCTACATCCTTGAATTTTTTCAGAATTTTCAGACATTTTTTTTTAATTGAAATTTTTCCAATGGTCCCCCCTTCTTCAAATTTCAGTCAAATTTTGACATTTTCAAAACTTAACTAAACACATTTTCTTGTAGATTTCGAGGTCTAGAACTCACTTCCGGCATTGTTTCTTTGATAACCGCAACCGTTGTTCCAGAATGCACGGTTGAAATATCGAAATTTTTGGAAATTTAAAAAAATTCGCATTTCATACCGATTCTCGCGAAAATTTTGCTCCGTGACCCTAAACATTTTATATTTTTGGAATCAGCAAGTCGATATCTACATCCCTGAATTTTTCCAGAATTTTTAGACAACTTTTTTAAAAGTGAAATTTTTTCAATGGTCGCCCCTTCTTCAAATTTCGGCCAAAATTTGACATTTTCGAAACTTAACTAAATACATTTTCTTGAAGATTTCGAGCTCTAGAACTTACTTCCGGCCTTCTTTCTTTGAGGACTGCAACTGTTTTTCCAGAATCGACTGTTGAAATATCGAAATTTTTAGAAATTTTAAAAAATTCGTATTTCATACCGATTCTAGCGAAAATTTTGCTCCGCGACCTAGAACATTCTATATTTTTGGAATCAGCAAGTCGAAATCTACATCCCTGAATTTTTTCAGAATTTTTTGACAACTTTTTTAAAAGTGAAATTTTTCCAATGGTCCCCCCTTCCTCAAATTTCGGCCAAAATTTGACATTTTCGAAACTTAACTAAACACATTTTCTTGTAAATTTCGAGCTCCAAAACTCACTTCCGGCATTGTTTCTTTGATAACTGCAACCGTTGTTCCAGAATCGACCGTTGAAATATCGAAATTTTTGGAAATTTAAAAAAATTCGCATTTCATACCGATTCTCGCAAAAATTTTGCTCCGTGACCCTAAACATTTTATATTTTTGGAATCAGCAAGTCGAGATCTACATCAATTAATTTTTTTAGAATTTTTAGACAACTTTTTTAAAAGTGAAATTTTTCCAATGGTCCCCCCTTCTTCAAATTTCGGCCAAAATTTGACATTTTCGAAACTTAACTAAACACATTTTCTTGTAGATTTAGAGCTCCTGAACTCACTTCCGGTTTTGTTTCTTTGATAACTTCAACCGTTTTTCCAGAATCGACCGTTGAAATATCGAAATTTTTGGAAATTCTAAAAAATTCGCATTTAATACCGATTCTAGCGAAAATTTTCCTCCGTGACCCTAAACACTCTATATAGCTGGAATCAGCACGTCGAGATCTACATCTATGAATTTTTTTAGAATTTTTAGACAACTTTTTTTCAGTGAAATTTTTCCAATGGTCCCCCCTTCTTCAAATTTTCCCAAAATTTGACATTTCCGAAACTTAACTAGACACACTTTATTGTAGAATTCGAGCTCTAGAACTCACTTCCGGCCTCGTTTTTTTGGTAACTGCAACCGTTTTTCCAGAATCGACTGTTGAATTATCGAAATTTTAAGAAATCTTCAAAAATTCGCATTTCATACCGATTCTAGCGAAAATTTTGCCCCGTGACCCTAAACATTCTACATTTTTGGAATCAGCAAGTCGAAATCTACATCCTTGAATTTTTTCAGAATTTTCAGACTTTTTTTTTTATTGAAATTTTTCCAATGGTCCCCCCTTCTTCAAATTTCAGTCAAATTTTGACATTTTCGAAACTTAACTAAATACATTTTCTTGTAGATTTCGAGGTCTAGAACTCACTTCCGGCATTGTTTCTTTGATAACCGCAACCGTTGTTCAAGAATGCACCGTTGAAATATCGAAATTTTTGGAAATTTAAAAAAATTCGCATTTCATACCGATTCTCGCGAAAATTTTGCTCCGTGACACTAAACATTCTATATTTTTGGAATCAGCAAGTCGAGATCTACATCCCTGAATTTTTCCAGAATTTTTAGACATTTTTTTTTTTATTGAAATTTTTCCAATGGTCCCCCCTTCTTAAAATTTTAGTCAAATTTTGACATTTCCGAAACTTAACTAGACACACTTTATTGTAGATTTCGAGCTCTAGAACTCACTTCCGGCCTCGTTTTTTTGATAACTGCAACCGTTTTTCCAGAATCGACTGTTGAATTATCGAAATTTTAAGAAATCTTCAAAAATTCGCATTTCATACCGATTCTAGCGAAAATTTTGCCCCGTGACCCTAAACATTCTACATTTTTGGAATCAGCAAGTCGAAATCTACATCCTTGAATTTTTTCAGAATTTTCAGACATTTTTTTTTTATTGAAATTTTTCCAATGGTCCCCCCTTCTTCAAATTTCAGTCAAATTTTGACATTTTCGAAACTTAACTAAATACATTTTCTTGTAGATTTCGAGGTCTAGAACTCACTTCCGGCATTGTTTCTTTGATAACCGCAACCGTTGTTCCAGAATGCACCGTTGAAATATCGAAATTTTTGGAAATTTAAAAAAATTCGCATTTCATACCGATTCTCGCGAAAATTTTGCTCCGTGACACTAAACATTCTATATTTTTGGAATCAGCAAGTCGAGATCTACATCCCTGAATTTTTCCAGAATTTTTAGACTTTTTTTTTTTATTGAAATTTTTCCAATGGTCCCCCCTTCTTCAAATTTCAGTCAAATTTTGACATTTTCGAAACTTAACTAAATACATTTTCTTGTAGATTTCGAGCTCTAGAACTCACTTCCGGCTTCGTTTCTTTGATAACTGCAACCGTTTTTCCAGAATCGACTGTTGAAATATCGAAATTTTTAGAAATTTAAAAAAATTCGCATTTCTTACCGATTCTAGCGAAAATTTTGCTCCGTGACCCAGAACATTCTATATTTTTGGAATCAGCAAGTCGAGATCTACATCCCTGATTTTTTTCGCAGTTTTTAGACAACTTAATTTTTAGTGAAATTTTTCCAATGGTCCCCCCTTCTTCAAATTTTGGCCAAAATTTGACATTTTCGAAACTTAACTAAACACATTTTCTTGTAGATTTCGAGGTCTAGGACTCACTTCCAGCATCGTTTCTTTGGTAAGTGTAACCGCTTTTCCAGAATCGACCGTTGAATTATCGAAATTTTTATAAATCTAAAAAAAATCGCATTTCATACCGATTCTAGCGAAAATTTTGCTCCGTGACCCTGAACATTTTATATTTTTGGAATCAGCAAGTCGAGATCTACATTCCTGAATTTTTTCAGAATTTTTAGACAACTTTATTTTTAGTGAAATTTTTCCAATAGTCTCCCCTTCTTCAAATTTCGACCAAATTTTTACATTTTCGAAACTTAATCAAACACATTTTCTTGTAGATTTCGAGCTCTAGAACTCACTTCCGGCCTCGTTTCTTTGATAACTGCAACCGTTTTTCCAGAATCGACCGTTGAAATATCGAAATTATTAGAAATTTTAAAAAATTCGCATTTCATATCGATTCTAGCGAAAATTTTGCTCCGTGACCCTAAACATTCTATATTTTTGGAATCAGCAAGTCGAGATCTACATCCCTGATTTTTTTCAGAATTTTTAGACAACTTTTTTAAAAGTGCAATTTTTCCAATGGTCCCCCCTTTTTCAAATTTCGGCCAAAATTTGACATTTTCGAAACTTAACTAAAAACGTTTTCTGGTAGATTTCGAGCTCTAGAACTCACTTCCGGTCTCGTTTGTTTAGTAACTGCAACCGTTTTTCCAGAATCGATCGTTGAAATATTGAAATTTTTAGAAATTTAAAAAAATTCGCATTTCATACCGTTTCTAGCGAAAATTTAGCTCCGTGACACTAAACATTCTATATTTTTGGAATCAGCAAGTCGAGATCTACGTCCCTGAATTTTTTTTGTATTTGTAATTGTACCAGCCTGTATATGTGAAAAATGTAAATAATTGTATAAAAAATCCGACACTGTTTTACAGTGAAGACAATTTTGAGAAGATGACTTGATGCCTTAAATTTCATCATGTCATAAATTCCATCACCCGGTATCTCTAATAATAATCAATGAGAAATCAAGAACCGTGCACTTAGTGATTCGCTCTGTACATTAACGAAAGACGTGTCCAATTAATTCAAATTTATATTTCTCGTTAATTTACATTTGTAGATAATTTTGCAAGGTTTTATTTGACTGACGCATGTCATTAGTATTCACGACTCATCACAATTTACTTGTAATTGGTCATACAGTTTTCTATTATCTGTCAATTTGCCACCAGCGCCCTCCATGGAGCACCTCGTTATTGCGAATTTGGCACTTTGACACTTTTGACACTGTGTTTTGACAGCCGCTGTAGCACTTGTATGTTGTGTTGTTGCAAAAGAAAATTTTAGTATCTTCTAGAAAATAGTTAAAATGTTTAGTTAATAACTGTGTTTGATTTATTTTCGCAATTAATTTATTAAGTTGTAAGAGTTGGTGATGTTTTTCTATGTCAAGACACGTTAGTAAGATTGGGGACCCTAGTCCTTTGAAGAGGTTGGACGAGCCACAAATATCGAAAAAAATACGATTAGAAATAGAAGTTGATGAAAACATGAGCGACAATTCGCCGGACCGAAACAGAAGAGCAAATTTTTCAAATGTGAACGGCGTCAACAGGAATTTAAACATCCACTCGGTTAAGCCGACAACCAAAAAGCTCATTATAAAGAATTTTAAAAGTAAGAGGTACGTAAGTGAGTTACGGTGTCTATATTGCGTGCTTGTAGGTGAACCAAAGCTCCCTGATGACTACAATGAAACGACTTGGAAGAAACTCAGCAGTGCTGTTATTGCTATTCAGCAATCAAAACCCAATGAATATCTCCTCGAAGAGCTGTACCAAGCCGTGGGCAACATGTGCAGTCATAAAATGGCTTCAGAACTTTACAAGAACCTGTTCGAACTCATCGACGCTCACGTGCGTAGCAATATCGAGAAGTTCAAAACGGAAACAATGGATAGATTACTATTCTTGAAGAAAATGAATGACACTTGGCAATCTCATTGCAATCAAATGATCATGATACGAGGTATTTTTCTTTGTTTAGATCGCACATATGTCTTGCAGAACCCAAACATTTCTTCAATTTGGGACATGGGCTTAGATTTGTTTCGTAAATACTTCATGTTGCATACATTAGTGCAAACTCGTGTGGTGGAAGGTTTACTCATGTTGATAGAACAGGAAAGACAAGGCGATAAAGTCGACAGAATCTTACTTAAATCTCTTTTACGTATGCTAACAGATTTACAAATTTATAACAAAGCTTTTGAACAGAAATTTCTACAATCGACTGAACGTCTTTATGCTGCTGAAGGTCAGAGGCTTATGCAAGAACTTGAAGTGCCTGAGTTTTTGGCTCATGTAGATAAAAGAATTCATGAAGAAAACGAACGGGTTTTACATTATCTAGACTCTAGTACAAAGTATCAGTTAATTCATACTGTAGAAAAACAGCTGCTTAGTGAACATATTAATAATATTTTACAAAAGGGGCTTGACAATCTGCTCGAGGAAAATCGTCTACATGATTTATCTCTTCTGTATCAACTGTTTAGTCGGGTTAAAAACGGCCTGCAGGAACTTTGCCACGCTTTTAACGCTTTTATTAAAAAACAAGGACGCACTATTGTTATAGATCCTGAAAAGGATAAAACTATGGTTCAAGAACTACTTGATTTTAAAGATGCTATGGATAATATTGTTGCTAGCTGCTTTAAGAAGAATGAAATGTTTAGCAACTCACTCAAAGAGGCGTTTGAACACTTCATCAACCAAAGGACTAACAAACCAGCTGAACTCATAGGTATGATAACACAAATTAAGTTCAAATTAACATGCTTGTTTTCAAAAATTATTCTCAAATTTGGACTAAGTATTTAAGCAACAAAAAAAATCCGCCATTTTGGTTACAACTTATGACGTCATTAAATTTTTTGAGTGCAGTGACTCAGGTTTGGAATTGTGAGCTGTAACGTCACAAGTTATTCTAAGTAAATAAAAATGTGGGGAATGGTTGGTGTTAAATTTAGCTCTTTATGTAAACTTGACATTTTTGAACAAGTTCGTCAAGGACAGAATGGCTATTTTTTGAAAATCGTTAAAAATAAATATGTAAATAAAAAGGCTCTAAAATTTGTAAGTCGTACCAAAAAAACATGCACTCTTTACATAGAGAGATTATGGAAAACGTCCAAAAGCCGTTGTAGAATATAGAATGATGATGTAACAATTAGAATGCATCTCAATTTTATAATCCGTTCAGTAGGTACCTGGAAACGAGAGATCGACCCTTTCACATTCTACAAGCTGTAAAACTTCAAGAAAATATGAAATTAGATTTTTTTTTTTGAAAATAATCGATTCCAAAATTATTGTTATATGAGTTTTATTTGTTTCATTGTTTTTTTGAAAGTGAGGTTAGTCTCTAAAATATGACCTTGGTACGATATTTTTGAATATCGATATAGGGTGGTCCAAATTAACTTTTTGTTTCGTACTTGTACATCCCTTGTTATTACTTTTATTATTGTTATATAGCAAAGTTTGTGGACTCTAAGCTACGCGCTGGCAACAAAGAGGCTACAGAAGAAGAACTGGAACGTCTTCTGGACAAAATAATGGTATTGTTTAGGTTCATCCACGGCAAAGATGTGTTCGAGGCGTTCTATAAAAAAGACTTAGCGAAAAGATTGTTGGTGGGTAAATCAGCTAGCGTGGATGCTGAGAAAAGTATGTTGAGCAAATTAAAACAAGAGTGCGGTGGAGGCTTTACATCGAAATTGGAAGGAATGTTCAAAGATATGGAGTTGAGTAAAGACATAAATGTAGCTTTCAAGCAACATTTGAACATAAACACACCCGAATTGATGCCCCTTGATATGACTGTGAATATTCTCACCATGGGATATTGGCCAACTTATTTGCCCATGGATGTAACGTTGCCTGCTCAAATGGTCAAATTTCAAGATATTTTTAAGGAGTTTTATTTGAGTAAACACAACGGGAGGAAGTTGCAGTGGCAACCCACTCTGGGACACTGTGTTTTGAAAGCTAGATTTAAAGCGGGGCAAAAGGAATTGGTTGTGTCACTATTTCAAACACTCGTAATACTCCTGTTTAATGAGTCTGACGAACACGGTTTTGAGTATATTAAAGCAGCTACTAATATAGAGGATGGCGAGTTGAGGAGAACTCTACAGAGTTTAGCCTGTGGTAAAGCCAGAGTTCTTAACAAAATACCCAAAGGTAGAGAAATTGAAGATAACGATAAATTTAAATTCAATAATGATTTTGTAAATAAGTTGTTCCGCATCAAGATTAATCAAATACAAATGAAGGAAACCGTAAGTTTCACGCTTAATCGTTAAATTCGTTTACTATTGGTTAAGCAGTTTGACGTAAACCAATGACAATGTATTCTATGTTTTAGACGGAAGAGCAGAAAGCCACTGAAGAGAGGGTATTCCAAGACCGCCAGTATCAAATTGATGCCGCCATTGTTAGAATAATGAAAATGCGGAAAACTCTTAGTCATAATTTGCTCATTAGTGAACTTCTGGGGCAGCTTAAATTTCCTGTTAAGGTGACTACTTTTCATAATTGTGGTTCTTAAACTGATTTTTATTGTTTCAGCCTTCTGATTTGAAGAAACGTATCGAGTCTCTGATTGACAGAGATTACATGGAGCGTGATAAAGATAATTCCAATCAATACAATTATGTTGCTTAAATTATTTTATTAGTATCTTTATTTGCAAGTCCATGTATTATTATGTTTGTCTTTATCAATTTAATATCTCCATTGAAAATATTCAATTCAGTTCTAGTCCAGACTTCCTGGCTTGTAAATAATCATCGTGAACTCTCTCAACTGATAGAAAATTGATTTTTTTTTTTTTTTCATAAGGAGACTTAGCGGAATACATGTGTTTTCGAGACGCTTGTAAATATATTCTGTTCTTTAAATTCAATTCTCAATATATTGTAAATATAAATATGTAAATGTAAAAATTAATTATGTATGTGCTTTTACAATTTGTCTCGGTTTACAGTGTACTTTTTTTCTTTTGTAATTTAAATAAAAAATTACATGGATTGAAAACGGCTGTTTTAGTAACTATGTCAAATTAGACAATGTCCTCGTTATATTAGTTTTAGAGCGACGCTAGTGACATCTATGTTTATTTCCCGTAAATGCTGTTGGTAATAAAGTAAATAACGAAATTCCCTAACAATTTAAAATTTGACAGTTTTTACAACTGTTTAGTGTTTACAAAAACTTCATAAAAACATCAGTGTTCATGGTTCAAAATAATGTGTACTAAATGTGAAAATTGTGAATTACTTCTTCAGATCGAGGAAGAAAGAATTCAATGGTAAGTGCAAATTTTGTAAATGCAGACATTTCTGACATTTTATTACGAGTTTTATTATCTATAGGTGCAAAGACCTGACTTCCAAAAACATACGATTACACAAAAAAATCATTGAACAACAGGAATTAATTGGACTATTAAAGAACCGATTATTAGAAAAACAAAGAAATTTTTTATCAGATTATGTGAAAAGTGTCATGCAACAAGTAAACTATTTGCAAGAGAGAGTAAGACTAATTATGAAAATAATCAAACTTTTAGAGCACTTTCATTTCAGACGAGTCTACAAAACGACTATCTTTTAGAAGAAAATCTTAAAGAAAAACTAGATGAAGTAACAGAGGTTTTAAATCTATACAACAATGAAAGAGAAACGCTCCAGAAAGAGATAGAAGATGGCGAGAAATATTTTTCTGAAAATATAACCTATTTGCACGGCTTGTAAACAAAAACAACAACAAAAACAAAAACGTTGATTCTAATATTTTCAGAGTTGATTATTTTCGTGAATCTTTGTTTTATGAGTTGGATAAATCCAACAAACTCAAGCTATATTTTACAAAGAAAATGACAGAGCTAACTACCACTAGCCACCACGTTGTTCTTCACACGTTAAAAGAACAAGGAGAAATTCTGAATAATGAACTGAAATCTAGATATCAAAAAACCATTCAGAAAAGTAAAGAAGAAACTGAAAGACAAAGTCAGTTGGTTTCAAAATTAAGAAAACACAATAAACAACTGTACTTACAGATTCACAAGACAAAAATAGATAGTGAGCAGAAAGTGGCAAAACTTGAGGTAAGAATTTGTTTATTTGGTGTCAAATTAACTAATTTTGAACCGTTTTAGAGAAGTCTTCAAGATTTGAAAGCAACAATAACAAAACTGAAAGAAAAAAACGATTATTTGCACACGCAGATTAAATTAGAAGTAGAAGGCTGCCAAAACGATATTTCTGACACTAGGAAAACATTAAAAAAACTAATAAAATCCAAGTCTTAGTATATTGTATAATCTTGCATATCCACAAATTACACTACATTTGTACTTAATAAATAAATTATTTTCATATAAAATAACGTTAAAAAATTCGAGCAATCATACACCTAATGTTCTTTTTTCTCCTTCTTTTTACGTTTCTTTTTCTGTTTATCACTTTGTAGATCTTCGTTTTTCTTTAATAAGCAATGTCTACAGTACCAATCTTCACTGTCATCTGGAGGAACCTGAATACCAACACAAACCCTACAACTTTTTTTTAGAGTATCGTGTCACAACAAAAATTAACGATTTTACCAGTGGTACCAAGCATCGCACCCATCACAACCTATCATAGGACTACCATCATCCTGCCTTCCGCAACCCGGACATATCCAAACTTCATTTCCGTCAGCGTCCTTAAACAGCATAATTTTTAAAACGGTTTACAAAGTCGGAGCCAAGGAAGCTAATTCCAATTCACTTAAGCACTGACACTTTTACAATATAAAAATGAAAATCGGGTACTAAGGTTTAGCACTATGAGTAGGGGTTCTAGCACAAGGAGACGAGGTTTCGGTACATTAAATGATTGGATTTTTAGGATGAGGAAGGTTGAAAATAAGTCCTAAACAATGTGAATTGGAATTACAATGATAAAAGAATCATGTTCTTATGTTTCGCGTGGGTTGAATAAAGCTATGATGTCTAAGCAGCAAAAGCGCTTCAAATCTGACCGTTTGTGGTGCAAGCATATTTGGTGATGATGAATGAGACCGTGAGCACACCAAACCAACAATATGAGACAAAAACTAGCAAATATACATGTCCAACTTATAGGAAAAAGTATAAATCTGAGAATTAAACTGACACACACTAAACTTACTTTCTTGACGGGTGTTCGTCGTTTTTTAGGCTTAGGAGGTTTTGTTTTGATGGGATGAATTCTGGGCCTACCTGGTCCAGGACCAGTTCTAGGTGAAGATGTGATTGGTGTTTCTTCTTGTGCTGTGTCTTCAGCTGTTTAAAACTTACAACTTAACTGATATTTTTAATGATGTATAGAGAAAGCATTCACACTTTATTACTATTTCAACGGAAGTTCATGCACATATTAGTTCTACTAAAATGGAAATTAAAGAAGGTAAATCCCCGAGCCTAATAACCACCAAGCATGACATTGATTAAATTAAATGAAGCAAATGAAATTAATCAAAGCAAATATACAGAAATGCATGATAAAATAAATGACAATGAAAGGACGTGGGGAGGAAAATGAACATGACTTTTTCGTTAGGTCAGATTTGATTTTTCGTACGGCCTGAGCTCTTGATTTTTTCTCTTGCTGTTGCATTGTACTTACAATATATCTGGAAGGAGGAGCTGGTGGTAATATTGGAACTTCAGCAAGTTCTCTCCTAATTTCTTTTGTTCGTATTTTAGTAGGAATAGGTTTTAGCATGGTTTTCTTCGTTTGATTGAAATTATCAGAAGAGGAACTAGGAAAACTGTCATTGAAAGCTGCAGAGCAAAAAAATAGTAAGGAGAAACCTTATCAGTATGTTAAAAATAAAAGTGAAAATAACAAAACGACTATAAGAAATAAACAAAACAACGATTAACAAAACAAAAGCTAAAACAAACTAATACCATGCTTAGTGGTACAACTTTTTAAATTATGCAAGCCAAACTCTTAGTGAATAAAAATTATCAAACTAAAAATTCAAGTGTCAAAAAAATTGCATTAATACTTGGAAAAGTGGCAACATCGCACACACACACTCACAGAAATAAAATGAATAAAACCCGTTGCACGAATGCAACGCTGCCAAATCAGATTTGAAATTAAACAAACAAATAGTTAAGTCTGAATTTGGCATATTTATAACAAAAATAAATAAAAGGTGCGTTGTGTGCCGTCTTTAATAACTTGCCTGATTGTACAGCTTTTGGAGGATTTACAGGTTTAGGTTTAGGTGGTCCACACACCAAAGCTGAAATTTTAGCTAAACCTGGCGACGTTTCGCGCTTTACCCTTTCTTCATTATTTGCTACATTTTCTTCTTCTTCAGTTTTAACAATGGGTTTAATATTTCTGAAACTAACTACTAGTAAACTTAACCACATATTACACGCACTTACAACTTCCTAGTTTCGGAGTCAGTAGGTTTAGGAGAAGGCGATTTGAACTTCAGCGTTAACTTGACCCCTGGAGAATCCGCATCTTTTATCTATAACACGTAATAAATAAACACCAAACTTATTTAATAAAAAACAACAGAAAACCTCTTTGTCCTTATTACGTTTCCCCTTCTTTTCTTTCTTGTTCTTTTCCTTTTTCTCCTCTTTCAATTTTTTCTTTTCAGCCTTGTTTATTTTATCTTTTTTGTTTCGCTTTTTATCTTTTTTCTCTTTCTTATGTTCTTTAGTCTTCTTCTCTAATTTAGAATTTGGCGAATCGTCCAAATCAACGTCACTCGGCGGCGGCGGTTTTTCCGGACTTGGTTTAGTTGGCGGTGGAGAATCTTCAATAACGTGTACTTCACTTTGAGGCGCAGGTGGAGGCGATGGTTCCGATAATTTTTGATGAAACGTCGACAACGGCGGTTTTTGACCGAAATTATACAAATTGATTGGTGAAAAAGACAGCGGAGGCAATAATGGGTTTGCTAACGGTGTCGGTATTAAACCCGGACCTAGAAAAATGGAAATAAGATGATTTATTGCATAGTAGCACATATACTATTTTTTCTACGACTTTCAAATAGATTGTTGAAATTTTATACCTCCAAAATTAAATGGAAATGGTAAAGGCGCGATAGGCGCATGATTGGGGATTGGAACTGGCACAATTGGAGGCAGTTCCATTTTGGGTAAAACTTCTGGAGTTTTTGGTCGTTCCATTTCGATATCCATTGCGTCATTGTCCAATCGGTGCGGGCTTTGTGTTTTCTGAATCTAGAAAATAAAATTTACAAGTTTTTCAAAGTATGTGAAGTGCTTTAGCACGTGAACTATTACTCTTTTAATTTTCTTGTTATCTTTCCTTTTCCGTTTTTCTTTAATTACGGGTGGACTATGCGAGATCATTTCCGGGGTTTTCGGTGTGGAAGGAGTTCCCGGTTGCGAATCATCATCAAAATAATGCGTATCCATTTTTTCGGGGCTTTTATTACTAGGTACGGAATTAATAGGTTCAATAGTGACGTCACTCGATAAATGTGTTAATTTCGGTAACACATCGTCGGGTTCATCAATGATTAAATCCGGCGAGCTTTCTCTGGATTCCTGCTTAATATCATCTTTTTTGTTAATCTTTACGTCGTTTTTCTCGTTTTTAACATTCGAAATCTTCTTAAAAATATTGACTTTCTTCTTGTCCGGTTCTGTAAATAATTTGTCAACGTTATCGAATTCGTTGGGAAAAACTTGCGGGCTTTGCGGCCTCATAGGAATCGGAGTTATAGTCGTGTTCAACTTTTCGGTTTTCTGTCTGGCAGCAGCGAGGGCTTTGTTCAATTTAGCCATTTGGTTTGCTTTATTCTGCTGCATCATCACGTTCACGTCATTATTAGGCGGTACCGAGTTGAGAACTTTGTTTGGCAGTTTCTGTTGTTTTGGTTTTACGACATTATTCATTCTATTCTTGGCCAAAAACGCTGGATTTATCACATCGTCAGGTTTGAGTTGCTTCTTTTTAAACACTTTGGTTGCTTTTTTAACGTCCATGTTCTCGGATGGTGGGTTTACGGGTGGTACGGGATCCACGGAAGCAATCGGGGTCCTGGATTCAGGTAGCTTGCCTTCTCGAGCTGGTGATAAAAATCCAGACGTCGTCATCATTACGCTACTGATTTCTCGTGTCGGTCGGCTACCTTCTTCTTCCCTGCGAAAACTAAAACGGACATCCAGAAGTCTACTTTCAATAAACAAAATGTAACGAAGCAAATGTAACGAGAATCGAGTTGTTTTAACAATTTAAAACTATACACCGTTATTATTATTCTTAACATTAAGAATATTGTCAAATTTGATTTTGGAAATTTCAAGTGAAACCTACTTGGCAAAATTTTGCAATGACGTCACAACAATATATCTGTATTTAATTATAAAATATATTCCCACTAAAAAAAATTGACATGTGATGTGGGTGAAATTTTATTGATTCCGTTAATTTTTGTATGTTTCTATATTTAGTTTATTATTTTTATAAAAAGCACAAATTAAACAACTGCAGTCAGTCAGAGAGCCCATGACACATGTTCCATGTACTTAGTAATTTTAAATGGTAGTTTCCATAGAATATGTGAGTAAAAAATAAACGGTCTGACTGACCTACCTGGGAATACCCAGTACTGCGCATAGAGGAACGGTGCGAAAAAAATATTGCCCAAAAAAGTGTTTGATTCAAAAGCCAACAGTTTGGAGGGGTTAATTTAGAAGCAAACCACCCCAAAGTTCATATAAATAACTTGTTCTAGTTTTTTGGACATAATGTACCAATAACCGTTATTTATCCCTTTTGTTTCTAAATATCTGTGTACTATTCACTGTAACACCAATTAAAAAACAAACAGTAACAATAAATATGTCACACATACGCCATCTCTTGTATTTTTTTTTAACTTTTTGTATCTTTATTTGCAATGATTTCTACATGTATGTAGTTTTTCCTAAATTTTGACACAAAAATTACAAAAGATTTTTTTATTTATTACCTTGGTCTTTTAAACTCTGATGGTGAAATATCAGCCGGTTTTTTAAATACTTGTGCATTTTCACTGTTAGATTCTTCAGGTTCTTCCACTTTGCAGTTGACGGCTTCAACTTCATTTTTATTTCCTGTAACAGTATTTTAAAGTTGAGGGCTACTAAGATGTATGTCTTACCTTCTAATAAGGGGTTCATTGGCGGTAAGTGTTCATGAATGTGCACAGGTCTTGTAACAACTTCCTTACTTCCGGGTTTTAGAAAATTTAAGTGATCTTCTTTAGGTATTGGGTACTTCGGTACAGCGCTTGGCGGGGGGCCAAAATTTACGTATCTCACATACTCTTCCAATTCAGACACACTTACTCCCATTTCTCGAAATGTTAACCCTAAATGATCCAAATTTGGCAACGTACAACCAACTGAAAATGAAATTATTAGTTAAAGTAAGGCGGTTTTTACGTTTTTTACATTCATTGGCATAACTATTCGTCGATCTGGTGATTTGGCCTATGTAATTTCCTAAAATATCTGTTAATATTTCCAGAGGTGTTGTGTTTATAGAGTTCCATCCCAGTGTTTGGAGGATCTTCACAACGGAGATTTTGAGGTGGTCTCTGGTGTAATTACGGGACATTTTCAATTAATTTCACGATATTAATAAACAAATTATTACGAAGATGTACTAGAGGTACAAACAAACCTCCATCTTCCCACAATAAAACACCTGTGATTTTGACAGTTGTTGATAGTTGATAGTTTTGATTTCGCGTTGCCAATGGAATAATGACAAAACCACCAAATGATCAGTGACTGCGCGAGCATTGGCGTAACATGAAATGGGCGGAGCTGAAATGAAACGAACTGTTGGACGATTTTTTAAATACGACATCCATTTTGAAAATTTTAATATAGTCTATGCCGTATTGTCATTTTTACTTTTAAAGTTTAAAAGATTTGTCATGTCGCATCCGCAGTCCGCAGTACCAAAAGTGAAAAAACTTAAAAAATAAATTTACAATACTTGCAGGTGTTTTACACTTTGTATAATAGTGGAATGAGACTGATGGTTAAGATTTTCTGGCTCCTACTGTATATAAACATTCATGGTCAAATAAAACGGACTGTGTATTTTTTTATTGTTGATTTATTGGAGAAAAAATACAAAACAATTTTAAATATGTGATATAGTACCTCACAAGTCATAAGTTATTTTCTATTTTCTGTCTGTTCCACAATACGCACATGTCACATCAGTATCACTGAAATAAGAATTCTTTGACGTTCTGAAGTTCTGAAATAGTTTGTTTAAATGACTCGAGTACATCTGTTATTAATTATTATGGTAAAAATTACCGTTCCTCTCTATAATAATAATAATAATAATGGGAAGCCATAATATACTAATAGGTTTTCACTCTTACAAAAATTTTACTTCGACCATTTTTGTGTTTAAAAACGCGTAGACACGGATTTAATACTAAATTATAATTAATTTGCAACCACTTTATTAACTAAACAAGTACTTTTAGAAGAGTTTATTACCATAATGTACCTTTGTGTTAACGAATCTTTTTTGAAAGTTTTATTTTTCTTAAAGGGGTAGTATATTTTATATGTATAATAGACTTATTTGTACAAGATGAGATTTTTGATTTGTTGAGTAATTAGTAATTATCCATTGGGGTACAATTCTATCTCTGTATAATTACCTCTCTCTATAATAATATTAGGTATCACAATATTTTATTTGCAGTATTGATTTAGGCGTTTTGCTAGTTTTAAAATATAGATCATGTAGAAATTATTAAGCAAAAATTTTTATATTGATAGTTTAAGACCTCAGCCCCTCTCTTAGTTACGTCACTGGTTGAAATGAAGCTTTTTGTGAATTTCCCAGGTTCGAAGAATATTCTTGAAGAAGGGCGTTCTCTAAGTTTTTTGTTGTAAATATTTTTAGATCGGAGGCTCAAAGCGACGGCAGTAGCTAATGAAATAACTGAGTCTGCGCGCCAGGTTTAATTGCAAACGATGTAGAAATGTTATAAATGTTGTATATTTCAGGTAGATACAATGGTATATATGTTAATATAAATGCTCGATACTAATGTATATTTTTTCCTTGTGGGTACTATTGTAATTACACCACGCTTGCATAGATTTGAATTTCGCGGTTGTGGTGTGGCCGCTAGGGGCATCGTTTTAGTGCCAGGTGAGTTTCAGTGTTGGTAGCAATGGTCTAAGAGCACCTTTATTTTGTCGATTGGACTGTATTTTGTTGAAATTCAAAGGAAAATAAAGCGGTTAGAAATTAAATTTTAATATGTTTTGCTGTAAAAGTGATGATCAAGTGGATCAATATTGTTGAAGTTTTGTGTTGAGTGAATAATCATTTGGCAGTTCTTTGTTGGACCAGTTCAATGAAACTTGATGGACATTCGTGAAGGAAATCAACTAAGGATCGGTCATCGGTAATAACAACATAAACAAAAAGTCTATCGAGCTCGTTATACATGACTTTGGGTAGACAGACTCAAATTTGAGGTATTTATAGCGCGATGTATTTTTGTTAAATTTCATAGTTGTCAGTATTTGTGAAATTGTTTGTCAGTTGTTTTCCAATATGGCCGATAGAGCGTACGTATAAAATTCGAGAATATTAATGGAAACAATTCAGAAAATAGTTTAACGTTTCCCCGTTTTCATTAACAAAAATCGCAACTATAAATTGCAACACCTTATGCAGTTTTCTTTAATGGATGACGTTTTTCTGATAATAATGACTAAGCGATATTCCCGTGTTGCAATTGTGTCAGTTTTGTTTATAATTCTTGTGAACATACCAAACCAATATTTATACATACTAAACACAATTAACTCAGGTTGCTAACGTGGTTAATGCGAGGTGGTTTTTAGCTTTTTCAAGCCCTAAACTTTGATGTAATGCTCCTGTCATAACATATGGCACAATGAAAATAGACAGATCGCGAGTGCGGAAGAGCACTTCAGATGTTCCTATCGAGTGCCAACAATTGATCGAAAGGCTTCAAGCATGTTCCCGGACTGAACTCCTTGAAGAACTATCAAAAATTAATACATGGACGTTCGGGAAATGCGAATTACTACATTGGGCCTTAGTTCTCGACGTTTTTGACAAGATTCTCGGAGAAGCCGGTCGGAAGTCGTTTGAAAATAAATGGGCTTTGCATTGTGATACTCATTATAACGGCACGGTGAGAACTGCAAATTCGTGTTCAATGCAATTTCACTTTTTTTTTTTGTTAATTTTAGGAAAAGAAGCTACTACTATGGATTCTACACTTCACTACCCTCCTAATCGAGCATTCGTTTTCTCGGCACTTGTACAATTCCTTAGAACACTTGTTGGTGCTCTTGGAGTCCAACGATATGTCAGTAGTTTTAGGAGTTTTAAATCTATTGTACATGTTTTCGAAACGCAGCAACTTCATCTCACGTTTGTCACCAGAGAAGAAAAATTCTTTACTTTCAAGACTGCACCATTTGGCTGAAGTATGTATAATTTTTTGCGTCATTGTGAATACTTAGTTGCTGGTTTTGCAGAATTGGGGAGGAAAAGAGAATGGCTTTGGGCTTGCTGACTGCTGCAGAGCCGATAGGCCTCTACCTCCGTCTGCTACAACACTTCATGTAGAATTTCATAGAGAATTTGAAGACCCGAAGGACGCTTGCTCGAAAAATGGCAAGCACTCGCCACATATTATTCACATTGAACATGTGGATAAGATCCATAAGACTCCTGCCGAAATTATGAAGTCGTTGCTGGGAATTTACTATGTGCCTACTGATAAACAAGTATGTATGCCCCCCAAAACTGTCAGTCATTTTTGTAAAAAATTTGTAATTGCGGATTTTGTCATTCAAAAATGATATATTTTCATTTTTTAAGGTTAAATTTTATTATTTGTACCATACAAATTTTTCCATATTTTAATTTTGATTCTAAAATCGATCTACACTGTGTAGAGAATGCCCTGAGTTTTTGTACTTTTTTTTTCGTTTTAATAAAGAAAATAAGTTTTGCAAAAAAAAGTTGAATATAAGATATGGAGATATCTCTTTTGGCAGAAACCAAATTTAATTCAGTGTTGAATAGCATCAGGTAGTAGTTTTAAAGTGTTGTATCGTAAGCGTCTCGGATCTGCCATTTTTCAAAATAATGTTCTATAATATCGATTTTTTTACATTTTTCACTCACTTTATTGATTGTGAAAAATAAATAAATGCCTTATTTACATGCTTTCATAATAATGTTCAGAATTAAAAAAAATGGTAATTTTATGTATATGCGTTAATATATTTGCCATACGTTTTAACCACAAAGGATTCATCTTTTTTGTAAAATTTTCACATTTTTGTAAACATTTTCATATTGCTATTTTTAAGTATTCAAAAAAGTATAAAATGCTAAGGGTGACATGACGTGAGGTTTGGGGATGATAAGGGCGGGGCTCGGTGATGCTATAATTGAACACATGAATAAAGCGTCGCAGTAGACGTAAAAGCGTCTGGATGGGTCCATTTGTAAATATAAGGGGAGAAAACAATCGGGCATACCGACAGTGGCGTTCGTCATCCTGTTTTATGATTTCTTTGTGCTTTAACCTCACACTTAAACACGTTCAAAGGCAGCTATGGATTTTTGAAGATTTGTCTTTAATAGTTGCATTATAAATTCGAGTTTTCAAATTGACATGACGAAAATTCTATCAGAGACAAATCTTCAAAAAATCATGGTTGCTTTTGATCGTGTTTTTATTGCTTTTTTGAAACCAACACTGTCATCTTTAAAAATAACATTTCAATTTTTCATTTGATATTTTCTTGATTATAAAGAATCTAAATTTGCAAAAAATATGTAGCCATTTAATTAAAAAACTGTGGTTGGTGAGTTCTTGAAAGTGAGGCCTGTATTTTCATGAACTCCGAAAAACCAAGAATTTTCCACTGTCGGACTGTTGGAACACCTGTCATTGTATATTTTCGTAGATTTTGTATTTATGTACAGTTGGGGCCATTAATATTGATCACCGTCCTAGCTCATTTATCGAAATTCATCCCTTGATGCGTAACAAAACAGAAACATGTGAGCGCAACGATCCGTTTTCACTTTCTGGCTCCACATTTTTTCAGTTTTTTGTTTTCATACTTGAACTGAAATAATCAAGTCAAAAATAAGACATGAACCTTTAAATGTGTTCTCTTTAAATGAAAAACGGAATACTTAATCTTGCGTTTCTTTTTATTCTTTTATTAAGTAAAAACATTTTTTTTTATATTGCACGTGTTTTCGGTGGTAGACAATACAGAATTTTCTTCACTTTTCTTGTTTTGTGTTCATTTTGGTTAAAAATCAATTTAACAATAAGACACTTCAAGTAATTTTAAAAATTATTTGAAAAATAATGCAAAATGTAATTGAAAAATGGTATATTACGTACCGAGGTGGAAAGTGCCTCATTTTGTTCAAAAAAGTCGATTTTTATTATTACTATAAAATTTTGTTATATGAAATTTTCAGGTGATAATTTCCCTGATACGATATTAAAAAAATATTTATTTTACGTTTATATTCAGTAATTATAAAAACCTTGAAATTACAGCAATTATTTCGAGTCAGTAGAAAGTCACTAAACATTAAACATTTTGGCGCATTTATTCAAGCTAATAATTTTTTGTTTATTATATTATATATAAAAGTATATTGCAAAAATACCATTCTTTATTTTTCAGATTTTGTAGGTTCATTAAAAAAAAGCAAAAAATCACTATTTAATTTTCGTAAATTATTGCAATTTTTCTTAAAAGACTAATGTTGTTCGCTTGTGTAACTTGACGTAAAATTTGACATATAATTAACTAAAATTGTTTTTTTAAGTCTTAAATTTTTGTACTATATATTGTTGGTTTTAAGTCAAATTGCGTTTAGCCAATATTAACAGGAAACAAGAAAACGCGATGATTTTATATCATTCGTATTAGGTAAACTTAATTATTATGAATTTCGTGTCTAATGAGTTAAATTTGTCAATTGCTACTTTTTTATTGCTCACAAATCTAAATTGAGTTAAAAAATTAAAACCTGTTGGATAAAAATAACATTAATGATAATATCGATAAGTAATAATATTTATTATTGTAACTTTGTATTAATTTACAAATTACAAGAAATCTTATTAACGTGGTTCATAGCTAGAACCATGGCTGCGGGGGGCGGCCAATATTAATGGCCACGTCTGTACATTGTAATGTTTCTTGTTACTCTACATTTGATGACACACAAACATAACATGGAGTTATCTATTGTATTTTTAGCATCGAGGTTGCTTACGTTGCACTTTTGTACATGCTGAAATTCATAAGATTCTTTTGTATTGAGTATCTTGCGTTCGTCAGAAATTGATATCGTTTTCATTGAATAGATATTTGGAATTTTATGTGTCATGTATCTACCATTCTTGGGCGTAAACTTGCTTACGATGAAAATCGATAAAAATCTCGCAACGAATGATATAAATTGATATCAGATCGTTACGTATAAACTTGACACCCACAGGTAACCACGTCTTCACTGCTTCAAGCGTATCCTTGGAAATAATTCAGGGGTTTCTTTAGAATAAGTGCCAGATCGATCCAGCTGTGCAATAAGTGGGCCAATTGTTCATTATGATGCTAAAAAACCGCGCATTGAATAGATTTTTTCTTAGGGTTGCTTTTGAAATAAAACGACTGTTGATCGGATTTTTTTTAACAGATGTGGCTATTCACGCACGTCCGTTTGGCTCACCATTTCGCCGATTATAATAACCGTCTGTTGTGTGTACAAGCACGGCTTCAGGCACTATCCGTGCTTGTATACTCGAACGCTATACAAGACTCTCCTCACAATCTTCTCTATAATGGCCTTCTCGAAGAATTGGTGGAGTTGGTAGAAATGAAGGAAGCGCATTTGGTGGAGATTCGTTCAGCAGCTTTGCGAACACTTACAGCTATTATACACCTAGATAGAAACCCCCATATTCCCAAGTAAAACATCCTCAATGGTTGTAGACGAATTAGCTAACGTCTTGTTTTGCAGAAAACCTGGATCTAGACTTAATAATATTATTGATGTAACTGGTGCTAGTCAGTACCACGGATTTTTGCCTCTTTTAGTTAGGAATTGTATTATAACCCTTACAAATCAAAACGGTGAAAATCAAAGTAAGAGAGAAGACGTCGACTGTGAAAAAAATGACGATATTGAATTAGAATGTGATGAAGCGAGGTTGATGGAGAGTAGCGATGTGACAATGAGCCCTCAGCAACCATTAGATCCTAATGCGAAATTTCCGTTGTCTTTAGCTACAGCTTTGTTTTCGTTCTTGTATCATTTAGCAAGTTATGAAGCAGGAGGCGAAGCTTTAGTTTCGTGTGGCATGATGGAATCACTCCTACAAGTCATCAACTGGCACGGAGTTGAATTAGAACACATTACCGTACGTTTTACATATTTTAAAATTTGCAATTTTTACGCGGATTTATTACAGTTTGTTACAAGAGCCGTTAGGGTAATTGACCTCATTACCAATATCGATATGCAAGCTTTCCAAACTCACGGCGGGCTGCAGAGCTTCATTAGTCGCCTAGATGTAAGTATTGTTGTTATAATTAAACAGATGTATATAGGTTGTTAATCAGAAGCATAGTTTTAAAAATAAGTAGACCCTTTGTTTCCTCTTATTGTTGAAAATGCAGGGTGTGAAAAATTTCGTTCATTAAAGTCGCTATAATTCATTTCCTACGACTAATGGTCAATTGTCAGAAATTAGCCGTTAATTATGGTTAATTTGGGTTAAGTACTTGTAATTACTAACAGTCATCAGCTATAATTATGGTAAATTATGTAAGTACGTTAGTTTGAAGTTAATTACCAATTAATTAATAATTAAATTACACATACAAAGTAAGTCAGAGGAACTAGCGGCTACGTTATATATTATATTCATTAATTACTTATAATTAATCACAATTCCTGTTGCCTTGTTTTCATTTGTAAGAAAAAATTTGGGTCTAATTATTTTCAGGACTACGTTTTTTGTAACTTGTCTGGTGTGCGCTTTATATTCGTTTTTATGGCTAGGTGGAAGTAAAACTATGCAAAGACGAACAGTTATACGAAGTGAAGTCAACGGTTACTGAGCAGAGTTTAGAAGATAATGCAACAGCAGGACCGTCGTCCGAGAATAGTGACAGTGTGTCGGAATGTACAAAATTAGTGGATCTTGTGTACCATGCTGAAAACGTCGGTAAAACATGCCTACCTCAGAGAGCAGCTCTCCTAAAGTCAATGTTGAACTTCCTAAAAAAGGCTCTACAAGATTCGACATTTTCGGATAACATCCGGCACTTGATGGAAGGTACTTTGCCCAACTCGCTGAAAAATATCATAGCGAACGCTGAGTATTACGGGCCGTCTCTATTTTTATTAGCCACTGATGTCGTGACTGTTTATGTGTACCAAGAACCATCCCTGCTTTCGGCTCTTCAGGATAACGGTTTAATCGAAGTCGTCCTGCACTCGCTATTAGTTAAAGAAATTCCGGCAACTCGAGAAGTTCTAGGGTCGCTGCCGAACGTATTCAGCGCTTTGTGTTTGAATAACCGTGGGCTTCAACAGTTTATTAAAATGAAACCTTTTGAGAAGACCTTCAGTGTCATGTTGTCGCCCGATTACCTCCCTGCGATGAGACGTAGACGCAGCTCCGAGCCAATGGCGGACACCGCGTGTAACCTCGGTAACGCCATGGACGAGCTGATGCGTCACCAACCCAGTCTTAAGAGTGACGCCATCAAGGCTATCATCGACCTTTTAGAAGAACTGGTCAATTTGGGAACAGACCCGAAATACATATGTTGGAAACCCCACAGTAAATCCGAAGTGTCGCCTTCCAGTAGTACACGTTCGGCAACCAACACCGAAGGCTCTTCCGACGAAGAAGACGAAGACGAAGAAGAAGCGTCCACGTCGTCCCAGAACGCACAAAACGATGCTCAAGTCCAGCAAGAGAACAGCGAAAGGACTCCCATTGCGCTCATTGATTATATACTAAATACCATGAAGTTCATTGACGCTATTCTGAGTAACAACTCGACGGATGATCATTGCCGAGAGTTCGTGCAACAAGGAGGCCTTCGTCCACTTTTAAAAATACTAGGGTTACCTAATTTGCCGGTCAATTGCCCCGTTACCAATCCAGCTCAAGCCGTAGCTACAGTATGCAAAAGCATTCTAAACCTAGCCCACGAAACCAATTTGTTTAAAGAGGGATTAGCTCAACTGACTCAAGTCCTGGACACATTGAAGCCGATGAACACGAAATTAGACGTTCCGAGTGGTCCTAAATTATTACTAGAACTGGCGGGTGCATCTAACGTTGAAAATGCGTTCAACAATGCAACCGTGACGCCATTGCTTCACGCCATGGGAGCGGCTCATGGCTACATTATCATGCTAGTGCACGTATGTCGAACCGGGCAAAGCGAAATTCGAAATCTGTCTTTGCAAAATTGGGGTTCCGAGGAGGGACTACGTGTGATTAAAGGATTGGCAGACCTGTATACATCTCTAGTTTGGGAAAGCACCCTTCTATTAGCTTACTGCAGCGAGGAATACATACCCTCCGACTTTACCAGAGAAGACATTGAGAAACTGAACGCTTTCTTCGACCAGGTTTGTCATGTTGTTGAAATTAAATGATCATCACCATTATTGTTTTGTTTCTTATAGTGCGAAAGTAGCAACACCGGAAGCGATAGCACCGTCAACGTAGCATCCGCAATGGAAGCTCTCACTACCAACCCACCGACGATATCCATGGACGTGGATCAAGAGGCTGTGACGCTCAACTTAAGTACTAGCTTGAAGTATATAAAACCGCTGCTCGGGGCTTCGTCGCGATTAGGTCGTGCGCTCGCGGAATTGTTCGGTTTGCTCGTGAAATTGTGCGTCGGTTCGCCGATTCGGCAAAGACGCGGCCAAAATATAATAGCAGCACCTCCTTTACCGACGCCGTACGCCCGTAGTGTTGCTACGGCTTTAAATATGCTTCTCGCAGATGGATTAGACTATGAGAAGTTGCCGGCTTGCCCGTTACTAAAGTCACGGATTACGTTCCTTATTTGTAGTGTCGGGTTTACAAGTCCGATGTTGTTCGATGAAAAACGGTACCCTTATCATTTGATGTTGATGAAATTCGTCGAATTGGGAGGTCAAGCGATTTTCTTCAACACGTTCCGATGGGCTCTCACCGCCGGAGGGACGATACCGATAGAGAAGGCCTTCGAGCAAGGAGCTCTTCCCGAAGGTAAGTGCATGTTGTGTCGTGAAACGAATACGTTCTTTTGGATTAAAAAGAAAAAAACACTCGGGTTTCCTACCGACTGCGCCATTTTTATTATTTTTTAGTAAGTGGTGGGTTGTTTTATTTCAAAGCGCGTATTCGTTCACGGTTTTGTGGATTCATGTTTGATGGACTCATTCTACCAGGTACTGCGGGATTTTTGGACGCGTGGTTGATGCTTCTCGAGAAAATGGTTAACCCGAAAGCGATTCTTGAGTCGCCGCACATAATATCGAATAGAGCGTCTCAAAGTTCCACTTACAAAGGTTATAGTTTCGATCCTCTAAAATACCTCATTCAGATTCACAAGCTGGCGTTTGAGGCGGTGATGCTGTTGTGGGATAAGGCACCGATAGCTACATACGGCACTCGTTTGTCTGAAAACATTCTAACGATCCTGCGGCATATACTTCGCGGCGAAAAAATTATCAAAGAAAAGTTAAAATCGGAAGAGAACGTATCGACAGATCTCAGTAGACCTAAAACCAGTACCGGTGGTGGTAATTCCAGTCGTGAACCAGAAGTAAACCCAGAGAGTTTGAGCCAGTTGATGGATATGGGTTTTTCGCGCGAACATGTCACAGATGCGTTACTCAACACTTTGACTGTTGAACAAGCAACCGATTACTTGCTCACAAATCCTCCGTCTTTTTATCGCATGACGTCGTCTTTTATAAACTCCGACGAAGACGATCAGATGATGCAAGCTATAGCGATTTCCCTCGGCGCCTCCAGTTCACCGAATGCTGCCAAAAAGAAGGTCGTTGAAGACGATGGAAAACCATTGGCTGAAAGTTTGATCGACGATTTTACTAACCACGCGCTAGAAGCGTGCCTTAAGTTGTTAGACGCAACTCCAGAGTCTGTTCATAAGATCTGCGAACTACTCGTGACGATAATGAAACGTAACGGCCGTACTTTCAGGGATAATCTGCTAGATACTTTAGTTAAAGAAATTTATGATAGTGCAGAGAGTGTTTACTTATACTATTCGGAACAAGACAACGATCCTGACTACCAAAGCATTGCTGATTTATCGTGCACTTCGCGATTAGGTAACTACATACACCTGTATATCCTATTCTTCGAAGTTTCTTCCTATTTCGAAATGAAGATACCGTGTGCTTTGGCCGTACACAAAACTGGTTTAGTCGACCTTCTCATTAAGCTCATAAGTGTGGTGAAAGATGCGATGACTCGTTCGGAAAATTTCGTGGAACCGAAATGGTTGGCTTCGTCTTTTCTTTTGATCGACGCGGTATCGAAAGTATCGACTTGTACCCAACGCAAGAGAACTATGCACTTAAGTACGACACGCGTGTGGCGTTGGTTTCACTTAGAAACCGGCAAATGGGCACCTTATTCCAATAGCAATAACAAACTAATCAACGATGCTTATTGGAACGGAGAACCCAGCGTTCGAGTGACTTGTGGACGAAGACGTTACACCGTCACTTTTTCCAACATGCTGCAATTAAATGATGAAAGCGGCAACAATAGACCCATTTGTATGACTCTAATCAATTCGGGCCTACCGAGTTGTTCCGACGTGTTCATCGTCAACACGGAGGAATCCCTGAACGCCGAACTAACAGAAAAAGAAGAAAAAAGATGCATTCTTGTACCCAATTTAACCAAATCCCAAGAAGCGGAAATCGTAAAAGCGTGCGTCAAGTTCATGCATATGCCCATAGACAAAGACTTCCTCCACTCGATTTTACAAATTTGCATCAGACTTACAAGAGACTTCGAATTGGCGAAAATATTCGTGCAAGAAGGTGGCGTCAAGTGCTTGTTGAAAATGAAACAAATGAGAGAATTCGCTGGTTTTGGTATTTTGGCAACGATTTTAATCCGACACGCTCTGGAGGAGCCGAACACGTTGTCGTATGCAGTCGAAAAAATCATCAGAGCTCGAACGCTCTCGACCATACCGCCGTATTATAAAGAGTTGCTTTACCTGACGAGACAAATCGGCGGAGCCGTTACACGTTCACCCGATACATTTTTCGAAGTCGCTAAAAACGTCTTACGCATTGATACTGAAGTAAATCGAGAAGAAATAGATTCAGGGATTCCCGTAAAGACGGAACCACCTACACGTACAAGAGCGCCACCTTTAGAGGAAGTGGTTTCGAATGAAGTAATTTGCGACCTACTTAACGCTTTACTTAAACCTTTGGAACTTCCCGATGAAAATCAACCTCAGACATCCAAAACAAACGCACAGAGTACTAGTAGTAGCAGCAGTAGTAAACCTGTAGAAGCCATGAGTGCGGACATTGACGATTCCGGACCGGGAACTCCCGCTTCGAGAACTCAAACCGACGGAAATTCCGAGAATCGTAGCGACTCCGAACAGAAGAAAAAGAAGATGATGTTACCCAAGTCCGTCATTTTGAAAATACTAGGAGATGCCGTGGTTTCGTACGGACCCGTAGCCAGAATTATTACAGAATATACATATAAGGCTGGTTCTGCCGAATGCCTCAAGGAAGACTGTACAGCTTTGGCCTTCATCCTCGACAAGATTCTTCCAGAAACTGAGAACATCTCTGATTCGGATTGTTCCACGATGTGTCGAATGTTGATTGCAGCTATCGCGAGTTCGAATCATTCTCCAGAAGCCCAATTTACTTTGGTTAGCGAAGTCCGCGCTGCGTTACTCCGAGCTTTGATAATGCCCGAATCGAGCGAGAAACATAGTCAGGTGCAGTTGATCGCGGGGATCATTTCTATAATGATCGACAATTGTCCGTCGTCACAAACTAGGGTTAAGTCACAACCGCCTACACCCCAAATGAATAACATCGTAAGGCTGATGATTCGGAAGTCGTTGTTTAATGATCTAGCGAGAGTACCCCACTATTTGGACTTGTCATCACCAAACACTCCGTTTACGGTGAATGCGTGTCTAAAATCATTGGAGGCTCTATCTAGAATTGTCAATCAACCAGTTCCGGCTAGTACGCAAAAGTCGAAGAAGAATCAACAGACGGCGGACGAGAGTACGGGAACTCAAAATGGAACCTCGACTGAAGGAACAAACGCACAGAGGGAAGTCGTTATTGACGATTCTGTGGTGATCGAAGATTCAGAAAACACCGAGCACGACATAGCGGTTGTGACTTCTACGATCGAGGTGGAGGCCAACGAGAACGAGAACGTTCTTGTTCACATGATCGACCAGTTGTTGGAACAAGGGAACGACAATAATCAGAGTTTCAGCGACGTCGCGTCTTCTAGGAACCACACCATGGACATCGACGAAGACGGGAACTTGACGTTCGAGCACGAGCGAGACGCAACCGAGGAATTGATGAGTACCGATTCGGGAGAGTCCGATTCTAATCCTTCCGATCAGGTCGAAGATGAAGAGAACGATGACAATGAAGGAGACGACGAGAACATTGATGACGCGGATGACACGAATTACGACGACGAAGACGGCAGTGATCGAAGACGAGGTAAGTTTTGACAGGCGACTAAAACTGTTTTAATGTTTTGTTTAGCTTCTTACATGGATAGAAACGATGACGTTTTGATGATTCAATACACAAATCCAGGTGCTGAGAACGAGGTTGTCACAAGAATGGTCGCATACCCGATGGGAGAGCACGGATCGTTCCCTATGCCCTTGTTCGATGAGATCAACAACAGCAGCGATCACACCGGTGAGTACTAACACTAAAGTTTAATGTTCGTGTTGAACATTCATAAATTATAGGTCCAATCGTGCATCCTCTGCTGCTGTCACGCAACACTAACGAGAGCAGTTCCAGTACAGTCACGCGCACCCAGCGGGTCACAAGGGCTAGGCGGTACCAGTATCTGTTTAATCCGAGGAATCCAAATCCTCCAGTGATACTTCAACGGTAAATATAGTTTTAGTTCGGTGTTACGATGATCGTTAACGTACGTGTTTATGTTTAGGTTGCTTGGGCCTCACGAACCTCAGGTCACTCTGGCGTCGGCGAATAGCATTTTGGGAGGTCCTCCTGAGATGCGGGAATCAGCTCGGTTAGTAGTGATGGACAATTTCGGTTTGTTACCTTCTCATGAGGAACAAATTGACTTTGTCGATCAATCTGGATACCTTTTTGGTCCTAGTTTAGCGGCAACTTTGAATCACATTTCGCCGGTTTTGCACTGGTGGAACATCGAATCCAAGTGTTTGGATTACGAGTCGGTCTACGATGTTACGACGGAAGTGTGCAACAGACTTCTGGCGGTACTCATCAAACATAGAAACGTAGAAATCGTGGACAAAAGGAAGTCGCATGCCGAGGCTCTGAGAAGGTTCAAGTTTTCGGAAGACGATTATATCAAGCCAACGGAAGATTCGACTGAGCCTAACGCCACTGACGGTAAGTGAAAAATTACGTAAAAGGATTTATTAACCGTCATTCGGCCATACATATGTATATACTAGAATTGCCGAACAATTTCTAATCAATAATTGTTCGACGATTCTGCTATAATAATAAATATGTTGGAATGGTAACAGTGAGTGAATTAACTTCTAAATTAATGCCAGTGAAACTGGTTAATACCCAAAATTTTATACGCGGAATTTCTATTATTAACAGTATTTCATCTACTCAACTTGTCAAAATTTGTTTTCCTCAGTCGTACAATATATAGTTTTGGAAATTTCATTCTACCCTATAAAATTTTATTGGCAATGACGAGACGGGCAGTAGTACAATAGCAAAATATATTTACAACTGAAAGTTGTCGCGTGCCGGTAATCCCCAGATGCTAGAAAGCAGGATAATACAGATTCGTTACTCACACTATAACTACCTGCTATATGTTCTCCGACAAATTCGGGTGAACTGGTGTGAGCCATAAATATTTCTTACTATTGTCAATAAAATTTTATAGGGTAGAAAGAAATTTCCAAAACTATACGTTGTGACAGGCGATGTGCATCTTTCGGTCATTCTAGTAATAGTAAGTTCAGTAATATAATGACCTTATTATTTGTAAATGTACCATCATGGGACTTATATTTTGTTAGCGTATATATTCCTCCTAACATTCCATTAGCTGATACATCAGCTCTCACTGACGCTCTAGTACCACTGCACTTCGGTAAGTCTATTATTATGATAGATGATTTTAATTTACTTCTTTTTCCTCAAAGTGATGCTATTCCCACGTGCTCCAAAACTCTTGTTGTTAATTTTTGTGTGCTAATTCTAAGGAAAATCCAAAAACTTTTGGAACTAAATCTCAAAAACAATAACAAGGATTCCTGACGCATAATGAGATTTCACTCTCATTTAGTTTATTTTATGGTATATTATTTTTAGCAAAGTTGGAGAACGAGAAGCCTTTAAAGTTCTAAATTATCTTGCTAGTAAATTTACATCTGGTCATATGTTACCATTTTTCTTGGCAAAAGACTGCAGAAATTTCTTCTAAAGCTTTGTTAAAAATAATAAATCTTCCTGATTATTATAAAAGGGCTCGTATTGTTCCCGCTTCAAAAATGGGGATAGATAAAAATGTAAAGAATTACAGACCCATTTTTGTTATTCAATTTTGGCAAAGTGTACAAGCAAATCTTATATGAGGTGTTATTTAGCAGCGCACAATCGTACATCTCATCAGTGCAGCACGTCACAATCTATGGATAGAAATATACAGATGGACGTTATTTACATAGATCATAATATACTTTGGAAAAAGTTACGTGCATATGGATGTTCCCACAACTGAAGTTATTGTCATATGTCGAAGAGTTCTATGTTTATTTCAAGGCCCTTATGAATATTTATCAAAATACGGAGTTCTCAGCGATCCATTTTAGGTCCATTATTATTTATTTTTTTAATTAATGATTTGCTGACTGGTTTTACCTGCAATATACTCGGATATTCCGATGCTGTCAAACTATTTCGTCCTGTCACCAATGAGGAAGATACACGTCCTTTACAAGTCAATCAGGATACATGTTTTACCGTATCATACATAAGGAAATTCTATTTCATTGGTATGGATATGGATTACACACTAGATGATTTTCCACTGAAATGGAAAGAGATCGTGAAAGATGTAGGAATAAAAAATTGATCCAATTAAGGAAATGGGTTACACATCGAAACGAGCAATCTCCAAAATTTTTAAACTTGTGAATAACAAACTCGACGGTCACTACCTTTTTAATAATATGTATTTCCCCGTTCCCAGACAAGGATCATCTTGATACACCTTCACCAAAAACAAAAATGTTTGAAAATTTCTCCTATCACAATGTTACACTTTGCCAACTGTATGTATGATGACGTTTTTTACTTTAAATCTTATTCATATGTTTAATTTTCTAAAAATGTTGTAATTTGAGTTTGCTTGTGTTGTATTCTATTTATATGTATATTTTTAATTGTCCTATAACTGGAATAATCTTTTAGGCAATCAAATTATTATTATTATTATAGGAACCGACGAAGACATTGATGGTGTTCCGCTTGAAACATCCGATACCTCAAACGACGATCGTTCAGAAATTAACAATAGAATGGAATCGTCATTCATCGGTTTTGACAGCGGTACCGAACAAACGCGACGTAGTTCACGTCCTACGACTGATCGTTCCGATGGTATCAGGAACAACCCTGAAGAAAGTAACGAAAGCGCAACCACAGAAAGGAACGGAAGTTCCATAAACCCGTTCGAAATACCGACTCTCTCCCCTTATATTCCGCCACCACGTCTGACTACCATGTTCCCGCGGGGTTCTTTACACCCGCCCGACATCGCGGAAAACACAAGTCAAGAAAATAACGAAGACAATTCTTCACGCGATAACAGCGAAGATACCTTCTGCAACAGAAATCCTCCATCTTGCGGGCCCGTCAGTCCCGATATCTTCGAAGACACTCTCAATCAACAAATCAATTCGCTTTCGAACTCGGAGAGAGAACCCGAGCCTACTGAGGACAACGCAACCACGAACTCCTCTCAAGAACCTGAGGAGATTCTCGGGTCTTCGTCTACCACCCCTCAACAAGAACAAGCGTCCGCTTCCGCTACCACCGCTAACAACAGCGAACCAGGACCTAGCAGCGACCCGACAGAAGAGATCCCCGACGGGGTAGATCCGTCATTTTTAGAAGCTTTGCCGCCGGACATGCGTCAGGAGGTTTTAGAACAACACAGAATTCTGCGTCTGCAGCAACGCATCGCCGCGAGAACCGAAAACACGGAAGCAGCAACGGGATCGACGGAAGTGAGTCCCGAATTTCTGGCAGCTTTGCCACCTTCGCTGCAAGAGGAAGTCCTTTCTCAACAAAGACTCGAGCAGCAAAGACAAGCCGCGGCTCAAGCTAATCCGAACGAGCCGTTGGACGCGGGCGCTTTCTTCGAAACGTTGCAGCCGTCGCTGCGGACGATGATCCTCTCTGACATGGAAGACTCGCAGATGTCGGCTCTACCGCCGGATTTGGCAGCCGAAGCGCAAACTTTGCGCAGAGATTGGGAAGCGAGGAATCGGCAGATGGTGCAAGAAAGGATTCTCCAGAGTAATTTGACGAGCATCATTAGACACTCGACTAGGTCAAGGCAGCCGCTTCATCACTCGTCTGGCCACTTTCCGAGAGTGCAATGGACGCACTGGAATAGAGAATTTATGAATAATCCTGTCACGCCTAGTCCGCCCTTGAAGATACGAGGAAGACAGTTGTTGGATCATGAGGGTCTTTCATGTTTGTTGGTTTTGCTGTTTACGGATGATCCGCACCTAGGGAAGTTGCGGCTTCATAGAGTCATTCGGAATTTGTGTTACCACGCGCCGACGAGGGAATGGATCGTTAATGCATTGTTGTCGATCATAGACAAGAGCGTGCACGTTAAACCGGACGAGAATTTAAATAAACCCGTGAGGAAGATGCCAAAACCGGGACCATTGTCTAGTAAATTGATGACGGATTCGAAACTTTTGCAGAATAACGGAAACTGGTTGAACATCCGCATGGAAGCTGCACTAGGTTGTTCGGCCAACGTCTTCATTGTTAATAGAATTAGTACCGGAAAAAGAAGTGATAAGTCGTCCGCGTCGAGTATTAGTATACATCCACAGGCTGCTCCTATAGTTTGTAGAAACGCTCTAGATTTGTTCACGTCGTTAGCAAAAGCATTTCCGTCTTGCTTACTTCCAATAAAGTGCATTAGAGATGATAGAGAAGATAAAAATAATTTGTCGCCGGTTAGAGTGAAAGCAGACGGGTATAGCGACTTTTGGGAGATTTTGTTAAGATTGGATTCCGTTAGTACAAAGAAAGGGAAAAGTATTCCGAAAAGTAGTAGCAACAGTTCCACTGTCGAACCCGAAAATAAAATTCTTTCATTCGAGCAGTCCGTGTTCGGGCAGTTGTTGAACATGTTGTCGTCGCCGGTTGTGAATAGGAATACGCAACTCACAGATAATTTATTGAGGTTACTATCTGTGATAACTTCAGGTATGCCAGAACTCGCCAAACCTCCGAACGTTTCGTCTAAAGCTTTGAAAAGCAAGCATCAAAAGATCGATAATCTTACTCCTACGAACGCTCTTCATCTGGCTGTTAACGTAATCACATACAAGAATTGTTCCGAGGAAGGACTCGAGTTCATTACCAACTTACTCTTGAATCTGGCAAGTTCCACCCTAGAAATGAGCTACATGATTTTGAACTTGCTTCTCAGCGGTGCTGTTCGCATCGGCGAAATCGTCAAGGAACAAATTCAAGATATGTTAAAAGAACTTCGAGAGTACAACGCCCAGAAACGAACAACCACCGCTAATAACGACGACATGGGTCCTTCTACGTCCAAAGGAACAATCGCTAACAGGTTTACCAAAGAAACTGTGATCATCACCGCATCTACCAAAGTAAAGGCTTCATGCGAGCTTCAGTTACCTTCCATGGTGCCTTTAACTTCAAAGTCTTCAAGCCAATTATTTTTCTTGAGAGTATTGCGCGTCATTGTACAAATACGAAATTCCTTCAAGCAGAACGTCAAGCGAAACGACGCCTCATGGTGTTACGACATACCAGCCTTAAGTGAACAATTGAGCAGCATCGATAGTCTTTGGGAAACATTGAGCCAGTGCCTTTCTGAGTTGGAACATACTCCAGATCACCATGCCGTCCTCGTCTTACAGGTAAGCCAAAAATCATACATAGTTTCGTTGGTTCAGTTCTAATAAGGTACGCGGGTCTACAAGATTATGTATTAGGACCTTTGTTATGTAAGAGGATTTCTTCCATATTTTTCTTAAAAATCTAGATGTCTAGGGTAAAAAATCAACATAGATTCATAAACCACAAGTTGAACAGTATGTAAAATTTCGAGATGATGTCATCAAATTGTTCTTAGGGTTAGACAGATTTTGGTTAGCGTTTTACCATCTACGTGATATTCGTAATATATATCTAAAATTTGACAACACTCGGCCAGTAGTTTCGGAGATTATTTGTCTAATAAAAATCGCTACAGATAGCAAACAGATAGATAGATGGACGGGAATGGGAGACCTATGTTTTCGTGCCATTAGGACCCTATTACAATACTTCCTTAGCGTATATAGTAAGTAATCGAGTTCATCGGGTTACCTGCCAGTTTCATGTTTTCTCGATCAAAATGTATTTGCTCATCCCCCTAAAAAATTGATGACGTCACCCCAAAATTTTGCTGAATAAATCCTATCTAAAATGTACAATCCCCCCTGAAAATTCTCTGGAAGGAATCCCCCAAATATTCCGTAAACGATCCTCGCATTCTTTTTGTGGCCACCGCTATCTCACTTTAACAATGAAAACAAGTCATTCTATTATGTATATGGGTAAAAGAGAGATAGATAGATAGTAATTGTCCACTGTATGTAATTCTACTAATAAATTTCTGCAGCCCGCTGTGGAGGCGTTCTTCCTCGTTCACTCTCCTCAGCAAGGGCCCTCGAAGAAAGACCAAGACACCGAACAAAGTACTTCCCAGTCGAACGAAGGTCAGGCGTCTTCTGAGTCGAACGAGCGGAGTCAAACCGAAAGCAGGTTCGTGAATCCGGAAATAGAGCTTCACCCGCACGAAACTACCCCGAAAGCTCCGGTGCCGCCAGAGCAGCAGAAGTTTTTGAGTTTTGCGGAGAAGCACAGGAGGGTGTTGAACCAGATTTTGAGGCAGAGCACTTCGCATTTGACTGATGGACCGTTCGCGGTGCTCGTGGATCATACGAGGATTTTAGATTTCGATATCAAGCGGAGGTACTTCCGGTCGGAGCTGGAAAGAATGGATCAGGGAATAAGGAGAGAAGAGACGGCCGTCCATGTGAGGAGGAGCCACATTTTTGAGGATTCGTTCAGGGAGTTGTATAGACGGTCACCGGAGGAGTGGAAGAATAGGTTCTATATAGTGTTCGAAGGTGAGTTGTTGGTAATTTGATTCGGAAAAGAGTTGAGGTGGGTTTTTAGATGAGGAAGGACAGGATGCAGGCGGTTTATTGAGGGAGTGGTATGTCATTATTTCACGTGACATTTTTAATCCGATGTATGCCTTGTTTACTGTTTCGCCTGGTGATAGAGTCACTTATATGATCAATTCGGCTAGCCATTACAATCCTAACCATCTTTGTTACTATAAGTTCGTTGGGAGAGTTATCGGTAAGTGTAACGTTCGTGGGGGTTTTATCTAAGCTGATTGATTGACTTTGGTTGCAGCTAAAGCTATCTATGACAATAAATTACTTGAGTGTTACTTCACGCGTTCATTTTATAAACACATTTTGGGTATTCCTGTCAAATACACGGATATGGAAAGTGAAGATTACAGTTTCTATAGAGGATTAGTATATTTAATGGAAAATAATATTAATAACTTAGGACTCGATTTAACATTTAGTACTGAAATTAACGAATTTGGAGTTACTGAAACAAGAGACTTGATTGTGAATGGGAGACATGTCCCAGTCACTGAAGAAACCAAAATGGAGTACATTCGACTTTCCTGTCAGATGAAGATGACTGGAGCTATCAAACAACAGTGAGTGTTATAAAATCTGGTATAACAAATTTAATAATTGACGTTGTTTTTTTCCAGACTGAACGCATTTTTAGACGGGTTTTACGACATTATTCCTATGCGCCTAATTTCAATATTTAATGAACAAGAACTTGAATTACTTATATCTGGTCTACCAAACGTGGACATTGACGACTTGAAAGCCAACACCGAGTACCACAAATACCAGGCGAATTCTCTTCAGGTGAGTATTTTATTATGTGTAGTGTGATATAGCTGATTCGGAAATATAATACATTATACACATTTTCCATTTCGCACGGATTTCACAGGAGATAAGTATTTCTCACGGCTGAAAATGAGTATCACTTTGTTTTCATATAGTCTAAGACATTGTGTTTCGTTTTACTTAAACGTATTTTGTGTATAGATACAATGGTTTTGGCGCGCGTTGAGGTCCTTTGATCAAGCAGATCGTGCTAAGTTCCTTCAGTTTGTAACCGGGACATCTAAAGTTCCCTTACAAGGTTTTGCCGCCCTCGAGGGCATGAATGGTGTTCAGAAGTTCCAAATTCATAGAGATGATCGTTCAACTGATCGACTACCATCTGCACATACTTGGTATTTATGCTTGTTTCACTCACGGTACCAATTTTTGAGTGTTTGTTTGTTTTAGCTTCAACCAACTGGATCTTCCCGTGTACGAAACTTACGACAAATTGCGCTCGTACCTGTTGAAGGCTATTCATGAGTGTTCTGAAGGCTTCGGCTTTGCTTAAATAATTATTTATATTTAAGACTGATAAAAGTGTTAATTTTTGTTAATATCAAAGTAGGTAGTCACTATGTAAATAAGATATATCTACTACTGTACAAAAAAAGGAACTCATTGTAATATAAAGAATTGTTTTCATTTTGATATGAATAGCAGTTGAGTTAAATGTATGTGTACTTCAATTGCATTAATCTGTAAATTATAATTCGAAGTCACATGTATTTTTGTAAAGGGCCTTAACGGCAATTTGAGCGTGATAGAATGAATTTGATTTGTAAGTCAGATTCACTCCTTTATATTATTTTAGTATTCAATTTGTTGTAATTAATTATCCTAGTTTTTTAAATACCGTTTATTTTGTACAAGTTTCGTTTCTGGTTTACTTTTTTTACATTTTAAATGTTGTAGTAATCCAGTTTTCTCATATTTAATAAAATTTTTCTTAACATCAACACGTTCTTTAGTTATGAAACGATCAGAAAACATGCCAGAAATGCTAAGATAAAACTGATTTTGGCAGATGATATGCCTGTAAGAAAATAAAGGGTGGGTGGGTGGGGCTAGTACTTGTCAAGATGCGACTAATTTGTTAGTTGACAGTAGCTAATTCAAAAATTTCTGAAGCGCCATCTGTCGAAAATTTATAGAAACCTAAATGGCGACATCTAGTTATTAATCTAGTAAAATTAAAGTGTTATAAAATGTCATAGCGTTTTGTAGTTGTGGTAGGTACTGATAATAAACTCGGAATAGTTTAAAAATACTTGATTTATTGTAAAAATTCTTATTATAACTTACTAATAACAATTAGTAACACCTAACCTAAAAGGCACAACACCTTAAACACAAAATTGCAGAAGCGAGTTAAAGCACTATTAGAAACATTAACTAATTAAAAAATGAATACCGCCTACTCAATTAGACTAAAAAAATATTTACAAAAATCAGATCCAGTAAGTTATGAAACATAGTCAATTAATAATAATGTAAGTTATAAATGATATGATTAATTCTTGTTGACCGTTCAGAACGGTTTTCAACTTAATCTAAAGATAATAACACATCAAAAAATAACACAATTATCTAACAGTTAAAATAATGTGATGATAATTTAACCGAAATACTAACTAAACAATAAATGGCACTAGCAAGAGGAAACTGGTACCGTGATAGTACGTTTAGAAACAGAACATGGACAGAAACACAAATCATTTGTCTTTCTGTCCAACCTCATATTATACAGATTGCATGACTTGTCGCACACAGTCTGTAACAAATTTATCTTTATCGCTAATCAAAGTCCCAACAGACCACTCTAAATTATCTAGAGCCTCCTCAGAAAATTTGTGGCCAATGAGACTCGTTATAACATTTACATTACCACTGAAACCATTTGCTGCTAAACCTGGCGGAAGGAACAAATTCACGTCGCTGATTTTGCCATTTTCAACCACCATGGTTACTCTCAAATCGTCTGGAACGTCAGTATTGAGCAAATTATCCGGAACCGTAAACGACCGTGTTATTGTGAATTTTGGTGTTCGGCCGTAACGCCATTCCCAGCCTTGAAAGGTATCTCTAAGTGCATTGATACCTACAAATAAACAAACTCAATTTAGCATCATTCTTAAACCCAGAAGGTTAAAACGATTGTTGATAAAATTATCAAGGGTCATTTGAATCACGTTCCTAAAACGCGCACTTGCTATCTCTCTCGCACTCATGCAATTAGATACTAACCGGGAAACCATTGCTCTGTGGGGTTGATCATCTGAAACCCTTTTTGTTTGTTGGCAAGTTCCAAGCCACCGTCTTTGACAGATAAGGCCTGGGTGCGTAAATACTCCCAACCAACGACTCGATACAGCGAAGGTACGTCGAGTTTGGGGTTTTCTTCACACAAGTTAATTATTTTTGATTTGATGGATTTAGTCGCGTTTGTTTGGATGCCAGCGTCCAGTTTTTGGAGGGCCTGACTGAGGTTAACTTTGTTGCAGTTGACCAGAAGGGTGCAGTGGTGGTAGGCGCTGGGTCTGCCTAATTTAGCGGCCGTTCCAGATACCTGGTTTGTTGAGGAAATATTTGAAGACTTTTAGAACGATAAATCAATAGTTTTTTATTCAACTGGGTGCTATGTAGCGACTATGTTAAATATATACATTTGGACAAATTGCGTTTCAAGGTTCCATTTTACGACTGCTCCTCTTTTAAATTTATGCTGCTGATCTTTCTTGTATAATTTTGTTAGTTTTATGACTTCAAAGGCGAAACAAACTAACACAGTTTACGCGATTGTTATAACTTCAGGTTTGGGAACAGAGTCCAGTTAGGTCAAGGAAAAAATGTGGAGGTATTAAAAATGTCCGCTATTGAAGGAAAAAAAAAAAGTCGCAAAATAGCAAGGTCGAGTTATATGTGGGCTTCATTTGCACAGAATAGTTATTGTAAATGTGGCCCTCATTAAACTTAACTTTCTGAAATTAGATAAGTATTATCAAGTAAACCAGTTCAATGCAGAGCTTATCATTGGTCACGACAAAGGATACTTTGCAATTGCGCAGCGTGAGGTCTTGTCTGGGCGATATCTCCAGCTTGAGTCCATACTCCCTGAACAGCGCTCTGGTGACGATCTCCAGGTTATACTTTCTGTTGTACTGTTCTCTCCCAGTGAAGAAAGTCATGTTGAGATTTCCCAAGTCGTGATAAACTGTACCTCCGCCGCTGTTGCGTCTCGCCAATTTCACCCCCTTTTCCGAGATGTTGTTCAGTTCGGAGACGTTGGCTTCGAGCCAGGGGTTCTGGTGCCTGCCGATAACGACGCACGGTTCGTTCTGCCACAGCATGAGAACGTGGTGGTTTGTGAAGTCGAAGTTGCGGTAGAGCCAGTCCTCGAGGGCTAAATTGGTGTAAATGTCTTTGGATTGCGAGATGAATACTGATTTTTTAATGTCTTTTTCGACTGGTGTCGAGTAGGCCCGGCTGAAACGAGCGAGGAAAGCACTCATTTTGAAGCTTTGTTGCACTAGTGCCATTTTGAACACAATTATTTTAAGTGTTGTGCCCTATGTCCTTAAGGTATTCACATACAAGCGTTTTTATGCGACGCTGTTAGCGCGATGAGGTACTCGTGGAGGGTGATGGTCTGGTGCAACCACTTCCACGTCTGGTGCAGGGAGTTGAGACGGACTCGAAGACCAAGACAATCTCTAGTAGTACTCAGCATTCCTCTCTTTGCTGCCAGGATGAAAAAACAAAAACACTTAGACTTTAAAAAGGAAATGAATCGGCACACTTGTGGAGAAAGAAGTTCTGCACTGGCAAGCAAGAGTGTATATTAAAAAAAAATTAATGTGAGGTTATGTTGAACGGGTCTCGTTGAAGCACAGCACTTTACTGAAGTACAGACACAGGCGACTTTACCGTTTTATATAAAGTGGCATTGTGGGGTCACTTATCCTCACAGGGGTCAGGCTTATCGACACAAAGAAAAACAAACCCAGATTAATTTTCTCTCGTTACCATGTGATTAGCACTTTTAATTACGTAAAATCACTTCGAATTTATCATCGCTTGAGGTCCTCTTATCGGCAGTTTCAATAAATCGTTCGTGATCTTGCTGTGACCGTGCTTTCTGCAGGGGTTAAAAATAGAATGTTGACTATGGTAATTTTCACGGTTTTTTGCAAACTTGTCCACTGTTTAATAAAGGTCAATAAACTCAACCTACATATTAAAAGTAGTTCGTTTATTTATTCCAACGTTAGAATTTACTTACTGATGATTATTCAACAGGTTTTTAATCCAAATTAATCACCACAAAGAGGTTGAAAGACGTCCCTGACGCCACCACAGACACCATCCACCATAATTTTATTTACAACAACACATAATCACCATTCGGGTGGTTGTATCGGCACTAATTAATTCTAATTTAATTTGTATTTGTCTTGTTTTACAAAATTACTGTTTCCTACTTAACCCCACCCCCCCACATTTTTTTTACAATTTGACAACAACTACGCTTTCGAGTCAGCAACCAGTGGCGTACATGCGTACATGGCAGATGTTACAAGTTCTAAATTTAGACCTCGTTTATTTTCATAAGCTGACGTTTCCTTTAATCAAAGCACTATAATTATCCGCACACAAATTTTTATCAGATTTATTTTAGAATGAATTTAAATTTCCACACAGTATTGGAGATCGAAATATTTTCGTTTGTTAGAACAAATTTAAATTCACTTCGTCTATTTTTATACAAATTAGATGAAACTTTTCGTTTAGAGTTTTGTTTAAACTGTACCTGATGGAATTTTTTAACTATTTACTATTATATATTACTAATATTATTCATCTGTTCATTTTATGACAGGTTTATCAACGAAGCCTGTATTATTTAAGTAGTTTTTTTTTTAACTATCCGGGTGGTTAATTGGAGCATTGGGCGCCTACTAGTATTTAGTAAGATAAAAGTGATTTTGGCACTTTTGACATTTTTGTCCATTTTTCAACTCGAAGTCATTTTCGCCTTCGTTTCTTCGTACCATTTTTCCACAGTCGCTAATTGAAATATTGCAATTTTTACAGTTTCTTCAAAATAGCTCGGTTAAAAAAATTTTGTAGATGAAAAAAGAAAATTATTATTAATTTTTGTTTCACAAAATTTTTTTCGCGTCCTAGATTCTTTTATTAGCTTCCACTCCCACTTGACAAAGGAACATAATTAGCCCCACCCACCCACCCGGTCTCTTTTTCATTGATTGATTGTATTCGATCTGAAGGAGGTGGGTGGTGCTAGTAATTGGTAAGATAAGACTGATTTTGGCAAATGACATATTTACCTTCCAAGAAAACAGAGGGTGGGTGGGAAGGGCTAGTATTTGATAAGATAAAACTGATTTTGGCACTTTTGACATTTTCGACCATTTTTCAACTCGAAGTCATTTTCGGCTTCGTTTCTTCGAAAATTCTTACCATTTTTCTACAATCGCTAATTGAATATTGCAAATTTTACAGTTTCTTCAAAATAGTTCGCTAAAAAGATTTTGTAAATAAAAAAAGAGAATTATTATTAATTTTTGTTTCACAAATTTTTGTTTTACTTTTTTCGCATCCTAGATTCTATTATTAGCTTCCACTCCCACTCGACAAAGGAACATAATTAGCCCCACCCACCCACCCAATCTCTTTTTCATTGATTGATTTTATTCGATCTGAATGAAATGAATGATCTTATAACTGAACAAATAAAATTAGTCGTTAGAATGAGAAGAAGGTGGGTGGTCGGTGCTAGTACTTGCTAAGATAAGACTGATTTTGGCAAATGACATACCTTCCAAGAAAACAGAGGGTGGGTGGGCGGGGCTAGTATTTGACAAGATAAGACTGATTTTGGCACTTTTGACATTTTCGATCATTTTTCAACCAAAGTCATTTTCGGTTTCGTTCCTTCGAAAACTCGTACCATTTTCCCACAATCGCTAATTGAAATATTGAAATTTTTACAGTTTCTTCAAAATAGCTCGCTAAAAAAATTTTGTATTTAAAAAAAGAAAATTATGATTCATTTTTGTTTCACTTTTTTTGTATTTTTTTCACATCCTAGATTCTATTATTAGCTTCTAATTCCACTCGACAAAAGAAGATAATTAGCCCCGCCCACCCACCCAGTCTCTTTTTCATTGATTGATTTTATTCGGTCTGAATGAAATGAATGATCTTATACTGAACAGAAATAAAATTAGTCGTTAGAATGAGAAGAAGGGGGGGCGGGTGGGGCTAATATTTGCTAAGATAAGACTGATTTTGGCAAATGACATACCTTCCAAGAAAACAGAGGGTGGGTGGGCGGGGCTAGTATTTGACAAGATAAGACTGATTTTGGCACTTTTTACATTTTCGATAATTTTTCAATCAAAGTCATTTTGGGTTTCGTTCCTTCGAAAATTAGTATCATTTTTCCAAAATCGCGAATTCAAATATTGCAATTTTTACAGTTCGTTCAAAATAGCTCGCCATAAAAATTTTGTAGATAAAAAAGAAAATTATTGTTCATTTTTGTTTCCAATTTTTTTTATTTTCTTCACATCCTAGATTCTATTATTAGCTTCCACTTCCACTCGACAAAGGAACATAATTAGCCCCACCCACCACCCAGTCTCTTTTTCATTGATTGATTTTGTTCGATTTGAATGAAATGAATGATCTTATAACTGAACAAATAAAATTAGTCGTTAGAATGAGAAGAAGGTGGGTGGTCGGTGCTAGTACTTGCTAAGATAAGACTGATTTTGGCAAATGACATACCTTCCAAGAAAACAGAGGGTGGGTGGGCGGGGCTAGTATTTGACAAGATAAGACTGATTTTGGCACTTTTGACATTTTCGATCATTTTTCAACCAAAGTCATTTTCGGTTTCGTTCCTTCGAAAATTAGTATCATTTTTCCAAAATCGCGAATTCAAAAATTTCAATTTTTACAGTTCGTTCAAAATAGCTCGCTATAAGAATTTTGTAGATAAAAAAAGAAAATTATTATTCATTTTTGTTTCCAATTTTTTTTTGTATTTTTTTCACATCCTATATTCTATTATTAGCTTCCACTTCCACTCGACAAAAGAAGATAATTAGCCCCGCCCACCCACCCTGTCTCTTTTTCAGTGATTGATTTTATCCGATCTAAATGAAATAAATGATCTTATACTGAACAGAAATAAAATTAGTCGTTAGAATGAGAAGAGTGGGGGAGGGTGGGTGGACTAGTACTTGCCAAGATAAGACTGATTTTGGCAAATGACATACCCGCTAAGAAAATAGAAGGTGGGTGGGCGGGCGGGGCTAGTATTTGATAAGATAAAACAGTAAAGAGATTCATAAAATTATAAAAGTGAAATTTTACAACAACATAATACCGTAATTATATTATTATTAATTTATTTACGACATACAACCAGAAATTAAACCATTTTATGTTATTAAACTAATAGAACAACCACTGCCAGACATTGTTTCTCATTAAAATAAATTTTTCCCAATTTTGCAGTTGATTCCGTTCAATTTAATAAATTCCACGGCAGTACTTGTTTAATAAAATATACAGGTGCTCCATAATTGCGCACTAACTCAATATAAGTTGTCAAGTTTAAGTTCGAGAACAATCATTGAAAAATTTTTCATGTCAGTTTGACGTTCACTTACAACAACAAAATATTGATTTAGATAGATAAATCTACGGGTAAATCAAAAACCGTGAAAAATTAGCCGCTGTTGTAAACAACGTGTCATAGAGCTAGTGCGCCTTTTTTGAGGTTTCAAAAAAGTTTTGCTACGCCTCTGATTTTTATTATGGAGAAAGAATTTCCGGTGCAAATTTTGGGTATAAAAACGAGGCAAAAAAGAACATGTTGAAATAATTTCTAGTATTGTAATAAAGTATCTCGGAGACATATCTATCTGTTACAGTAACAAGCTGCCGGAACAAAATTTGATAAACATAATATTTATAATGCGCGGTATGGACCGTGCGCGTTATGTCTATCGCCGACGTCGTACGTCAAATCTGTCTAACATCTTGCGATTGTATCAATTAATTTGACATTTTCCTTGTAATAGTTAATAATATTTATTGCAAAATGAACCCGTGCGTGGTGTTTTAACATGTTATTAAAATAAATTCTTCTCGAAGTGCCAGTTTGAATGTAAAGTTTGGTTAATGCCCAAAACAATGTCCAAAGATGAAGACATTTTTTGGTATCATGGAAAATTATCTCGGGAAGCTGCTGAAAACATACTCAACGAGGGTAAGTCGTCAGAATTGTTCCCCTTCGTAATTATTCAAATGGCGACATTTTGTAGACGGACGACCCGATGGAAGTTTCCTAGTTCGTGAGAGCAACTCATCTTCTGGAGACTTTGTATTATCAGTACGTCATAACAACGATGTAAGTCATTTCCAAATCCGTAGACATACCGAAGATGCATTTTTTTCTATTGGTAAGTAAATTTTTTCCTAATGTAGCATGAGTTAAACGTTCGGTTGGATTAGATGAAAGTACAAAAATCCATGGCCTTGAAAGTTTGATAGAACACTATGTCAACACAAAGGGGGTTCTCTCTGAGGGTTTATCTTTAACTGTTCCGGTCAAGGGCGATGCCCCCCCTGATAACTCGCGCAGACATGGGCGCACAAATCTCCTCCACCGAGCAACAAGTCAAGGGAACTACACAATAGTATCAGAATTATTAAAGACTGGGTATAGACATGAAGCGAAAAATCAGAATGGACAAACTGCCGTCCATTTAGCCAGTATGAACGGCAAAGACGACATCCTTCGAAAACTCATAGAATACGGAGCTAGCGTAAATTTACGAGATACTGCTGGCTACACTCCTCTACATGTAAGATTAATTTGTTCTGAGGGGTTGACCATCTAGCAGGGTGTGACACGAACGTAAATTTTGAAAAACGTAGTACGCATTAATATATTTATTATTTAATATGTGATAGCTTTGTCTAACTCTTATCTGATTTGACGGCGATGTCGCAAACTGAACCGAAAATAATAGTAGATACGTGCGTCACACGAATCGGGTTGATGAATAGATATCTTGACAAATAAGAGAGCGTATTATTATTGCAATAACTATTTGTGGTTGAATATAATAAAAAGAAAATTTATAATTTTTTTCTGGTAATATTTTGTTAAACGGGTCGTAGTGGCCTCAACGTAGAACATTTAGACGAGTTCGACATTGACTTAATTTATGAGTGAGGTTAGGTCTCTTTATTTTTGAACTGCGTCTGCGCTACTTCCAATGGCGTGTGAATCACATATTCAATATCGTATATTAAATAATATGACGTGGTACACAAGAATTTCGTGGTGGTCAACCTTCTTCATATTCCTGTAGGTACTAACTCACGAAAATATTTTAGTACGCTTGCCAAAATAATTACGCCAGTACTGTAAGACTCCTCGTCCAAGTAGGGAACGCTAATATACAGTCTAGGAATACCGAGACAGGTGCTGTTCCTTTACACGAATCTGCTAGTCGCGGTCACAAAGAAGTCGTTAAAGAGTTGTTAAGTTTAAACGCTCCTGTGAATCCCCGAGATCAGGAAAACCGACTGCCATCACATCTTGCTAGGAAAAATGGGTTTATCGAGTGTGCGGAAATTTTAGAAAATTACCAATGTCCAGCACCCAGGACTCATAAGAGTCAGTGGTACCATGGGACTTTGGATCGCAGCGAAGCGGAGACCATTATTAAACAGTTCAGTACGAAAGATGGGACGTTTTTGGTCCGATGGAGCGACCGCAACAAAGAACCTGTTTTGACACTCATTAGTGAAAATTTGTTTTATAATTACATCATTAGGAAGCAAGTAAGTGTTTTTATTGATTTTTCTATGCTCTGCTCGCGTAACGAACATGTGACACGCAAGTTTTTATTTTAGGACGATTATTTATTTATTGACAATGGACCTTACTTAGAATCTTTAGAACATATAGTCGAATACTATAGCTTTATACCGGATGGGTTACCTACCATGTTACAAACTCCAGTACCTCCTAAACCTAAGCCACCTTTGCCAGAAGTGAGTTGGTTTTGGGTTAAATTTGCTTTTTTAATCGAGCGGTTTTCAGTTTTCTACTATTCCTAGACAAAAAAAGAAAAGTGGGGGGGTTAAATCGCAACAAGATATTTTGAATATTACTGAATCTCAATCTCTAAAATATCCTAGTCAGTTTCAAAATATTCAGTTTACAACAAATTTCTCAAATAACAATAATTACATGACGAACGAGAATGAAGAAGACTATATACCTTTAGAACAATTACATCTGGGTAATGTGATTGGAGAAGGTGAATTTGGTTCAGTTTATAAAGGTACTTACACTAAAAGGAATAATGAGGTTATAAATGTTGCAATAAAAACATTAAGAAATGAACAAATCGAAACAAATAGAGGAGCATTTCTGAGCGAAGCACATGTCATGATGAAACTAAATCACCACTGTGTTGTCAAATTAATCGGGCTTTCGGTAGGACGCCCTTTGTTAATGGTACAAGAATTAGTTGCTTTAGGGTCCATGTTACATTATATTATTTTATACAAAGATCGGATTAATCCTGACTATGAATTCAAAATCTGGGCTGCCCAAATAGCTTGCGGTAAGTTTTTTTCACTCTGTTTAAACTTTCAATCAAATATCTTTACTTATTTTAATGCAAAGATTGGAATTTGTAAGTATTTTACGGGTCTTTGTTCACCATTAATTCGACATTACTTTATTAGGGATGAATTACTTAGAAGAACAAAGATTTATTCATAGGGATTTAGCGGCAAGAAACATTCTGCTTGCGTCTCAACACCAAGCAAAAATTAGCGATTTTGGTTTATCCAGGGCTTTAGGAACCGATCACGAATACTATAGGTTAGTTATAGAATTTGTGTGTGTATTTTGTGAAGCAAAAAGCGTTTATTCTAGGGCTATGCAAGGTGGGAAGTGGCCTTTAAAATGGTATGCGCCTGAATCGTATAATTATGGTCAGTTTTCTCATAAGAGCGACGTGTGGAGTTTTGGAGTGACCATTTGGGAAATGTATAGTTTTGGAGACGTTCCGTACGGAGAAATGAAAGGATCAGACGTAAGTATTTTATTTGGTGTGTTTGAAAATTGTTTTTATTTTTTTTGTAGGCTATCAAGGTTATTGAAGACGGAGATCGGTTGAAACAACCCGAAGCTTGCCCCGATCGCATTTACGAAGTGATGATGAAGTGTTGGGAGTACGATGCGGAAAACAGGCCTACGTTTAAAGAACTGTTAGATTTCTTTTCGTCCGACTCCGACTATATGAATATTAGAGAACTCTTACCGGAAGCCAATTTGGCTTAATTTTAATAATTTTATATGAATTATGTGCCAACGAAATTTTAAATATTTTGCATACTCATAAGTGCAATATAGTAATTTTACACTATAAATAATTTCCGATTTTATTTTATTCATTCCACTTTGTACAAACAGTGATAAATAAAAGTATTTTTAGGAATATCACAGAGTTTTATTACAATTCACAGATACTGTATAGTCGTATATAGAGAGAATACTTGAATCATGACGCCATGACCCAAAAATAATACTACAAGCGCACTTGATTTTTTCTAAAAAGAACAGGTGTAGATTCGGAAATGTTCCATTCACGAAGCGGCAAATTCTGTCTGTCTTCTGTGCTAAAACTTCTACTGAACCTCGCACTTATTCTATGGAGCCTGTTCCTCCTCTGCAGATGCGTGTCGCCATCATCAAAACTCAAGTACGTGCTTTCGTTCAAATTTTCTTTGTTTTTATCCGTACAAACATGCAAAATATATGCTATCAAAACTCCAACAGCAATTCCATAAATAAATGGAATTGTAATTGATAAGACCGGTGACAAGTCAACGATTTCCTGCAGCAGACTCTTATCAACACGCGTATTATTGCATGTTTCGATTATTTCAGTTTTATTATCATTTTTCACGTCTTGTTCATCATCATAAATCCATGAATTTTTTTCTTCAACCGGTGGCGCCATATTCATCATGCGCTGGAACTTCTCGTTTGGTAAAATTTTACTTGTTCCACACGGGTGAATAAATCTTATCCCCTTGGTTGTACAAAAACTGGACAGTTCTTGAAAATGCCCGTCACATCTTAACTGGGTGTTGTTTAAATTCAAGGTATTCAAATTAGAGAGGGATTTAATTGTATCAAGTTTTAATTGTATAAGGTAATTCCGAGATAGGTCCAGAAGTTCCAAATTTTCTAATTTGGAAAGCGTTTCTGGTGAAATAAAGGATATACCACAGTCGCTCAAGTCCAGTTTCTAGAATACAAGTGAGAATGTTATTTTTGTTGATTATATCGTAAAAAAGTAGTCTTATTCAAATTTGGCGCCAGATCATCTTCTCGGTGAGAAAGAGGTTATATTGCACAACTATACTCAATTCATTAAATAACGGTGACGTTATTATGACGTTAAAACGTACACGTCAATTTGTAGCTTTAATGTGAACATTTTTGTGATCGATTTTTCGTGTTTAATATTTGTCAATATTGCGTTATTGAACGGAGAAAAATACTTACAATATGATGAGAAATGTTTAAAAATAAAACGTAATTAACTTATCTGCGGCAAGGATTTAAGTTTTATCAAGACTAAACTGTCGATTTAAATACAGCACAAAATTGGTACATGAACTAGATCTTATCATTATATCTCTATCGGTCAAGTTTAAAGTCGTTTGTCTAAATTAGAAAATGTAGTTGTATTTCTTACCTTTAGCGACTTCGAATTGAACACTGCGCCTGAATCCATTTTGCTGAAACTGTTGTGTTTTAAATACAGCTCTTCTAAAGAAACCATGCTCAGAAACCAGCTTTTAAGAATATATTGTATGCCATTGTATGATAAATCCAACGTTTTTAAATTAGTGAGTCCTCGAAATGAATATATTTCAATTTTATTTACTTGATTATGAGATATATTCAACAGTTTCAAAGATGTAAGTTTTTCTTTCTAGAAGAGATTTTGCGTTAATTAAACAATTCATGATAATGATATTCTTAATGACTTACCACAAATACGTCATTTGGTAACTGATTTATTTGATTATGTGACAGATCTAGAATTTCCGTTTGTTCTGGGAAATTTGACTCAATGTTCGCCAAAGTCCGATGACTACACGTCGCACGTTTCAAATTTTCAAATATATCACAACTGCAATGTTGCGGACATTTAATTTCGATTTGTTTATTCAAAGTTTTTGAAATTAATAAAAAGTATAGGAGGATATGTAAGTGCGGATGCATTTTGTTCACTATACACCTCTACATAGCACCGTTCTTACAAGACAAGGCATGACTAAATGTGATTAGATAAATAAGATAATAAATGTTTTATCTTTCATTAATACTGCAGTTGTTTGTTTTTATGATAACGGTAGCTAATTTGTAAGTTCGGGCGGGTTTTTTTTAGTACGAAGGTGTGTCGATAGATGACGCATGTGTAAGGATTTTCGATTGGACTAGCGATTAGTGGAATAAATACGACTTTATTTATGACACGGACTACAACACTTATTTAATATTTATTGTTCTTAGTAACATCATAATTAAGTGACAGTTAATGTACTTAACTACTTATAATAAATATGCTATCACAATAAGTTTCTGTAAAATTTATGAAATATTCACAATATTGACGAATGTTTTTGGGTTCAGCCCGTTTTTAAGAATAACATGCGTATGTAATAGTTTCAGAATTTAGAAATTGAAAGATGAACTTAAAACTGAATTTCTTAAAAAAAGTGTGTCGTGTTGTTTGAGGTCGATAGCAGTAAAATAGAACAGTTTGTAGGTATGTGCAAAGATATTGTTATTGGCTAAACAACGTCGGAAGGACAACAAAAATGAGCAAACTAGTATATGAAGTAGAGTTTTAATACTGACGCTTATAATATAATAGTAGAGACACCAAAATATGTTATACGTAACGATAAAAACATCGAAAATTTTATGTTAGCACAAAATATGTCTCTTCTACCCACTACAACCACTAAATATAAATGGCCCCAAAATTAGCCACTTAGCTCTCTTATTTTTATATACAGTACCGTGCAAGGTTACTATCTATTAAAATACATTTTAGCACAACAATATTAAAATTTGGCGTATAAAGTTTATGCAAAGTTTACATCTACAGTAACAAATAATGAAATGTGATAGATAGGTACAGTATTCCAAAATTGTAACACTTATTCTATATACAGGAGGTATCTCGTTTATAAATGGGAAATTGTTTCAGGTTCGGGGTTTATCGTCGAAATGAAGAATATGCTGTAGTATGAAGTTGCCATTTCAATCAGACATAAATTCCAGTACAGCAGCACATACGATCACAATACAGTGTCCAAAGTTTCTAATGATTTTAGAACGTGTTCATCCCTAGAGCACCACTGCACGAGTTCTTCAATGGTTACAACGCCATCTTTATTCGTGTCTATGAGCTGGAATTAAAAAAAAAACTTGCTTAAATCCACCCAGACGTACTTTCTACTTACATGAAATATTTTTTCTACGTGTTCTTTGGCTGAGCTTTCATTGACAGTTGGATGAGTCGCCCTTCCCAACATTTCGTAAATGCTCGAAACGACGTCGACCATTTCAGTCTTCGTGATGAGACCGTCGCCATTCAAGTCATACAGGCCGAAAACCCACTGAAGCTTCTCTTGGACACTGCCCCGAGATACCTTTGACAATATACTGAGGAAGTCCTAAACAGGAAGCGAAGTTAAAACACCTTTATAGATTATTTTAAACTTTGGTAAATACTTAAAATACTAATTCGGACTGACGTCAAACGTCAATTTGAGGATTATTTTTATGTGATGAATTTTCGCAAAAAAAAGAATCCAACATGGACTTTTTGATTAAACGGTCATAGTATTTGAAAAATAACTATAATCCTGTGACACCCCCCCCCCAGGTAATAAAACAAGTACTAAATATTCTATGATGTTATCAAAATTTACTTTCCTCTCTTTTTCAATTGATAAAATGGAAAGATTATTTAGTCGCGCTTAGGACGATTTTGTCAATTTTAATTTTAATTTTGAAAAGCTCTTTTCACAGCGCTAGACTCGGAACAGGCTCAGAATAGCCCAATTTTACAATGAATCTGAAAAGCTCCAATGTAGTCCACTGAACCGCTTTTTGGGAAGAAGTGCTGGTGGCTTCCAAGTGGCGCCTCAGTCTAAAAATTTCCAAAATTATGTCCTCTGCAGAAAAATCATCGTAGATTTTTGTCAGATTTGGAACTATTCCATGAACATCTTTTTTTGATGACATTAGCAGTGGGATTTATAAACTTTACAAACTTTCTGTTGACGTTGAAGTGCCCGCTGCAGTTGCTGTTCCCGCTGAGGTTGCTTTTAGAGCTGAAAATTGTCATTTATAAACTCCGTTGCCAAGTTGCCGTTGATAGTAACTTTTGCCGTACTTAAAGAGGTTTTATAAGAAAAGTGGAGGATTTAAGTTGATTACTACAAAATTTTACCATTTTAGACATGTCTTAAGTTTCTTGTTGTCGAAATAAGTCTACACATACTAAGAAAAAAAGGCAAAATTTAAGCCCGCCCACCCACCCTATCTCTATTGTGATGATTTTTTTTATTCGTCGTGAGCCAAGGGGACAGAGCTTAACTGCAAAATTCTCTTTCTCTACGAGAAATTAAAAACATGCTTTTGAGCATCGTGTTGCTCAAAGTAATACTATGTACATTAAAAAAAATAAAACCAAAGATTATGCCCCGCCCATACCCACCCCGATCTCAAATCTCAATTGTGATGAATTTTTCATTCGGTGTAAGATCGAGAGGCGGGGCTTAATTGCAAGATCCATATTTGTCTACAAGAATTTACCATTTTAAACATTTTAAGTTTCTTGTTGTGAAAAGACGACTACGCATATTAAGAAAAAAGGGAAAATATAAGCCCCGCCCACCCGCCCTATCTCAATTGTGATGATTTTTTTTAATCGTCGAGAGCCAAAGGAGCGAAATTTAATATGCAAAATCCATATTTACTTACAAAAATTTGCCATTTTAAATGTGTTTTAAGTTTCTAAAAAAAAAAATCATCACAATTGAGATGGGGTGGGTGGGTGGGGTTTATATTTTGACTTTTTTTCTTAATGTACATAGAATTCCTTGAACAACACGATACTCATGTTTTTAATTTCTTGTAAAGAAATAAGTATTGTGCAGTTAAGCTCCGCCCTCTTTGTTCACGTCGAATAAAAAAAAATAATCACAATTGAGACAGGGCGGGTGGGCGGGCTTAAATTTTGCCTTTTTGTTTTAATATGTGTAGACTTCTTTTCACAACAAGAAACTTAAAATATGTTTAAAATGGAAAATTTGTATAAGGAAATATCGACTTTGCAATTAGGCTCCATCCCATAATTACAAAATCCATATTTCCTTGCAAAAAGTTTTTAAATCACATAATTCAAATACTGAATTAAAATCAAAAATCTTTCTCTCTAAGTGTCACATGATTGAAAAAAAAGTTCTCTAGAAGGCCGTGAAATTTATTTTGGAAATAATTGTGTTCGCCGCATCAACGTTTCTTGTTCAGCTCGACAGTTACGATCTAGCTGCAATGCGAATATCATTATTTTAAAAAGAAATTTCATGGCCCGCTAGAGGATTTTCTTCCGATCACATGGTATCGATATACAGACTAGATATCATGTTAGAAATTTTACACCAAAACTATATTCGGCCGACTTCTAAGGAATCAATATTCGTTTTTTCCAGCAGTGATGGATGGATAAGTATTAAACATTTTGAAATGTAAAAATATAAGACATTTTCTCTGAATGTTTTCCCTAATTTTTTTAAAACGAAAATTCGATAAGCAATTTTAAAAAATATGAGTGCATTGATACATCACAGGTGCAGATTCATAATATTTTAAACTTAAATTTGGACTAGTGATTTACTAATTATCTGAGTGAAATTGTAATAATAATAATAATATTGAGATGATCTAAAATTTCACGAAAAGGCATCCAGTAGTTATGAAGATTATTTCTTAAAAAAAAATGTTAATAGACGAAGACAAGGAAAAGGGAGATCTACTTTTCATTCATTTGGGGCTATGAAAAGTCTATAAAACATTAAATTATTTCGTTCGCTAAATTTTACAATATTCCTAGCTTTCCTGTGGGAAATAAAAATATATGGTGCCATAAAAATATTGCGTTAACTCTAAGTTCGTGGGTTTGTAAATTACTCTAGACTTATATGGTAGAAAGGAGAGCGAAAAGTAAATAAGACCAAAAACAAACCGTGAACAAGAGAAAAAAAATCGATAAAACTGAGTGAAACAAAGACAAGAAATAAAAAAAACACACAAAACAGAGAACATCATTTTCGAAAATCAAAATTAGAATAGTTTACAAAACTGACAAAAAAATGTATGATTTATCGTATTAATCAAGTGCAGCTCTACATCCGACCCACATTGACCTTTTTAACCATGACAATAAATAAACAATAAACTGCGAAAAGATAACTGTTGGACTTTGTTCAAAAGGTCAATTGAAACTCTTTCCAGCTCTGTGAAAACATCGATAAAGAAATTTTTAGACCGGATGACAAAATCGATTCTGACAATAGCTGATCAAAGATTGAAGAGCAAATCCATCTATTGACGATAACATAATCTGCCGATGTGATTTGAATGCATAATTGACCTAAGTTGCCACAGGTGTTCAAAACGACGGTATCGTGTGTTGCTAAATATTCAGGAGCAAGTTGGCGTGCCTGCAACAGGTTTTGTTTGCCTGTTTGAGTGCTCATAAACAGGACCGTATTTGATGGCACGCAGTTCAAACGGAATATAATCCGATATTGATTGAAACTATACAGCACTGGGTAATAACGGTATATGCATACTTTCAAAATTAAACCGTGCGTTTTCGATATTCGCTGCCAACGAATTCGGATATTCGTGTTTAAAAAGGAAAATGAACTGAGGCAATCTATCACTTTTCTCCAGACGGCGCGCAACAGCGTGATTCTAATTATTTCGTACTCACGAGCTTTTAAATAGTTTAGTTTGAAATTAGACGGGTGAAGAACGACGCCAAATTAAGCAAAAATTAAGCACTTTTTGCATACTATATTAGGGACGACGTACTAATTAATTAGACGAAGACAAAAACAAAAGAAGATAATTTCTTACTTAAATCAACAGATATTATTTAGCCAGTGTTTTTCACGAATTTGTGAAACTTGGATTCGCCGTAAGCTCATATTTTGTCGCGGCAGTATATATTATTTATATTTATGAGTTTTAAAAAGTAACTGAAGTGAATGTGGTTGGCAACACGATTATTTCATTCAACCGGGTTATTTTGGTCAAACTGTTGTTTGTTAATATGCCCAAAAAGATAGCAAAAATTCTGATAAACTATTAATAGCAGTTGTTAAATCAAAAGTGTAAAAATAAAAATAACATCATCACACTTCCCAGTAAAATTTTCCTTCGGATAAGTTAAAACCTTCCCGAGGAAAGTATTTTTGGTTGCAGCTTCAGATACCAAAATGCTCTCGAACACTCGAACATGTTCAATGGGAGTTTGTGAAGAAGAGTATAGTGTAGGAATTCCTTCTAATACCTTCGTCATTGCTTCCATCACAATAGACGTCTGCTCCTTTGAGTAGGTCGGGAAATTGACAAGCAGAATAGCAAGCAGATATGTAAAAATACACTCTTCAAATAAATTTTGCTTCTCGAGCGCAGACACATGAAACAAATTTTCTCAAAAATTTTAAGCTTCATCTCTAATTTATCAGATTGAGAGTTTTCCAATAAAACTAATTTCGAATTTTGTTACAGCTATCAAAAATCATTATCTCCATTAAGGAAAATAGAACGTTCTCGCGATAAGGAGACTGTGGCACGCAACGAGTCTAGATTTATCGTAGGGGTGAAAACGTTCATAAAGATTGTATTCACGGTTCATTTTTGAATATTGTTTAATTACAAGTTTAATTAAAGGATAACGGATTAGGGTTTAATCATTTTCAATGATTAATTACGAACAGGGTGACAAGTATTATGTAGAAAATTTGCTGCAGAAGTTTACACAAAAACCGGTCGAGATAAATGCGAGACTGTGCAAAAGGTCATATCTAATCTCGAGGTGTTTGACCGTTGACATTTTCATTTCTAGCATACATAAAAAACAACCACGTACATCTAGGATCTACCACTCAAAAAAACATAATCGACGTTATTGATACTAATTAAGAAGTAAGCAGATTTTATATTTTTGTCCAACAAGATAAATTTATTTGATAATTACGTGTATAAGTTTTTGTTGAAATTCCACAAATAATGATCTGTTGATATTGTTACGTTGAACGGGTGAATAAAATCGGCGTAGGTTAAACTCAACAATTATTACCTCAGGATTAACAACGTTTTCTTATTAATCCACTTTTAGTAAATGTGGAATATAGAAAAGAATTAGTTGTATGTGCTTTATACATATGTATATTATTGAAAAGTGTTTTTGTCCGTATATTTTTTGCTACAAAACATTGCTTTTTAAAATCCACTCTCTTTAAAGCTCCACAGAGAAGATGCCATTCAAATATTAAGCACAGTCCATTCATACGAATCTCGTGAATGTTACAAGCAACATGCTCAAACACAGACGTGCATTAGGGGTGACATTAACGATTCAAGTCACAAAAAA